TATTCCGTGAAATTAACTATTACTATTTACCATAAATATCAATTAAAGTATTAATGGTTTCACCGTTATGGAAACGTAGTATTATATTTTAATAACTTTCCGTAAGGAATGTGAAACCACTGATAAAAACATGCAACATTTAAATTTGACTTTAAAACCTCAAAAAACACGTGTTAAACTCTAGTAAAACTGCCCGTAATAAACACGTGCTTTTGGTTTACGCCTGGATTGTGAAAAACACGTGCCTATATAGGTTTTATTTCCGAAAAAGAAACTAGATGTGCCGATAGGGTTCATCTGGTAACGATTTTCCTAATTAGCTCTTATGTTTTCTAAAAGATATGCTTGATAGTTTTGGATCTGATCTTACTAGAGTGCATCTGGTTCATTACTGTGTTTAACCTTTATATTTTTGCATATTTTTAGATAGTGCATCTGATTCATTACTGTGTTTATTTTTGATATTTTTAGAATATCCACAAGATATAGTTATGAGAATATTATGCAATCTTTCAATTATATCACATTTAATTTTAGTAATTTCAGAAAAAACTTCATTATTTTTAAATGCTCTTCTGGCAGTATTGCCGTCATTGGTATTTCCATACCCAGTTTTAGGCATGTCAACATATAGGCTTAACCGTTCTCTGAAGAGTACCTGAATCTCTCTTTTTTTAAGTCTACAGATATTTTTTCCTCAATTGTTTTTGGCTTATACTTTTTAATTTCAATTTTATAACTTGAATGAAGAATAAATTCCAAGCATTTTATCCAGCAATGCAAAGCTGAAATTCCGAGCCCCAAGGCTAACTCATTCTCAGTTTTTGCTTTTAATAAATCAATATTGTTTATTTCATTGGGTTTAGCATTGCATACATTGCAGTATTGAGTGGATTTTGTCTCTGTAAGTGCGTTATCTACTTTATTATCAAACATTGTAAGATCAATCCTATAGCTGATATTAAATATTTTTAATATCAGCTATAGGATCCAGCAATTTTAAAAACGTTGCAAAACGTATTTAAGGTATTTATTTGATTTTTTAGATCTGATTTTTCTTCTTTGGATAAATTTGGACTCTTTTTTATATTGTAGATGAAGAGGTCTACAAAAGTGACAACTTGAAGGATTTTCATTTTTCCAAATTTCGCCATCTTCTACTTTGAGCAAGAAAGGCACAAAAGCTGTACTGAAAAGATTTCATGCTTAACTTCTATACTTGCGTTGCTTGTATCGTGTTTCTGTTTATAAATACTTTGGCTTGATGCTCCATCAAAACCAATCTTTTGATACTAAACTCCAAATAATTCGTCACCTTGACCGCAAATAGGCATACCAATCATTTCAGTTATTCTGCTCACAGTGTGATCTAGGATGCTTTGAAGAGTACACTTTGCAGAAATTTTAGAAAAATGTATATACTCAGAATAGCATTTCAATTTTTCCACGAAAATATCGTGCAAGGTAGGATAAATATGTACATTGTGTACAAGAGCTGAGTTTCTGATCATTTGATATTGTTTATCGCTGAGATCAGTATTCATTTTTAATGCAAGAGCTTCCTCTACACTCATGTTAATGGGAAAGGTTTTATCCAAAGTTTCATCAACTTTTTCTATCTCCAAAACATTAGACATATTGTTTTTTTAAATAGATTATTTTCTTTCTCCAGCAGCATTTGCACTTTATGCAGAAGCTAAAAATAGAGCTTCATGATGTTCAATGGCTAGTTCTTTTTTTTTTTTCTTTTGCTTCGCTCTCCAAGAACACTCCATTGTTTATGAGGCCTTCCAGAACCAAAATGGCTATTTTTATTGTTCATAAGATTTCTTTTAAGCCAACGATTTTCTTTTTGTATAAATGTATCATAATTTCGTCCACATTGTTTTAGTTTTTTCTTCAACTTTGAAATAAATATAACAAAGCAACCTTTGCTTTATTAATGTTTTTTTTGCGAATTTTTTCATTATTTTTTTTTTCATTAAGTAAATCCTTCCATAATCTTAATTTATCATCTCCTAATTCATGTATATTTGGGATAAGATTTTTTCATTGTTATTGTTTTTAAGAACCATCAATATAATAAAACTAATATATCAGAAACATTTTAAATTATATATCTTTTTACTTTACACTGTTTAAAATTTTACTTTGTTATGGCTTTTAACAATTGTCACATTGTTAAATCCTGTAATAACACTATATTAATAATTTAACTTTATGTTACAGGAACTACTAAAATTGTTCAGTTAAGCTTTTTCAAACATGTTGTACTTATCGAATAATAAATCGTTCTTTAAAATTGTCAATAAATATTTTAAAAAACTTGTAAACAGTATATAATGACAAAAGCACGTTTTTTAAAACTATATTTAATATTTATGATTTAAAAACTATATTAGAACAAGTTTTACAAGCAAAATACTTAAATTTAAGTTTCCCGCCAATTTCATTTGTTTTGATATAATAAAATACTTAGAAAAATGGCGGAAAACAAGGTTTTTATGAATTTTAAAAGACATCATTAAAGAGTTTGAAATATAATTAAATTAAAACTTCTATTATTGACTTCTATTAAGGTCATCAACAATTGTTTTTCTTTAACAACTTCCAATACCGCAGTAATCTCTTTATATTCTTAAAGTAGAAATGTTAATTAACTGGAAAATATGTATATATATTTGTGGAACTCGGTGCAGTGGCGGAACTTCAAAATTTGGGCCCCCCCGCAAAAGAATGATTTTTTTGCGGAAAAGAGTTTTATAGTATAAATATTATTGAGAGTATAACTTTTTTTATATGAGGGCCACCTATAGCTGGCAGGCCCCCCCGCAACGCAGGGTCCTGCGTCCAGTAGTTCCGCCACTGACTCGGTGGAACATTTTTTTTAGCTGATATATAAACAAACAAAAAATACAATTATTTGCTAACTTTTTTTAGAGAAGTCTTTAGATTTAAACAAAAAAATCAGACTTTTTTTTTTCTTTTTAGTGTATTTGAAATTTATAGTCTAACGATTATTTAAAAAATAAATATACGCTTTTATTTAAATTTCAAATTCTCTGATTTAGTTGAATAAAAACCATTTTTCAGATTTGTTTAAAAATAATATCAAATTTTTTCACTAAAAGTTTTATGAAAAAATTATTTTTACTTTTGAAATAAAAAATCATTGTCATTTAATATTATTCAAAGAAGGGCACTTAATTTATAAAACAGTTGTGAGGGGTTTATTGCCATTTTTTGTTGCTTTGAGTCACTGTGCAGCGTCATAAAAACAGCTGAAACAAATGTGTTAAGTAGTTACATTCCAAAAATGTCTCTTTCATTCGAAAGTAAAAAGTCTCCTTGTTTACAGCATTAAAATATTCAATAAAAGACTAAAAACCTCTTATTTTATCTTTCCGTCAACAGTAAAAACGTTGAAATCGAAGTTTTCTCATTAGTTTTCACTCATTGCAATTTACTTCCATAATCTCTTTATAGTCGTTTGAATAAGTGTCTATACAATGTTTAACTTTTAATTTCAATACTTTTTGATTTAATATGATGTTTTTATAGCATAATTTTATTAAATAAATTAAAAGTTTAATTAATTTACAATGGCGGCTTTCATGTTTACGGATTATTATGTTTAGTGCAGTGAGTTTTCTTTTAGAGAGAACTATTTTTGTATATATGCATAATATGAAAATGATGACGTATTACATTTTGGAATATAATTTCACGAAAGTATTTAAGGGCATATTTCAATGTCACTCTATGCAACTGCATCTCAAATGGCAAATCTGTTTATTTAAAGGTGAAAAGCGAATAGAAAAAAGAAAAAAAAAAAAAAAAAAAAAGAATAAATTAAAAAGTTATTTTAAAGATTAAAAATTAAAAAAAGTAAAAGCAAAACAAGATTAAAATATATAAATAAATAAATGCTAAATCAAGCTAAGCCTTTAATAAATTTTTATAAATCCTTTGAGACTTTTTTCCTCTGACCTTTTAATATAAAGTTCTTCAAGTAGTAGATTAAGTAAGCCGTTTGTTCCAGGCAACTTCACTAACAATAGATGATGAAGTTATTTTAATTCAACAGCTAATATGCGATCTTGGCTGCATCCGCTCATCATGGAATAATATTTTGATTGAAGCGAAAGCTATTGCAGGTCCTCTCGGCTTTGAAACGGAGTTTTTAACAAAACAAAAGAAGAGTGCGAAATGGTATCACAATGAACTTGAAAATGCAGCTTTCTGCTATCAGAGCCCCAAGCATCAATTTGAGGAAAACATTTTTAACGTCGCTCTTGATCTTTTTATTTATCAAATTCAGTCAAGATATGACATAGGAAAGAGTGTTTTTTCAAGGTTCTGATTCATCTAGCTAAAAGACCAGGAACCAGATTCTCAAGAGATTAAAGCTCGTGAATTAGCACAGTTCTACGCTAATGATGTCAAAAAAGACGACTTCATACAAGAAATTTTGTATCTTAAATGTTTGAAGGAGTCTTTGTTTTTTATTCCTAGAAACTCATTGAGCCTTCTTAACCAAATACATTCAAAGAGTCTGGAGCCTATTTTTTCATATGTATGCATCTTAATTCAAATTTTTAATACAATGTCAGTTTCTGTTGCAGAGGGTGAACGATCCTTTAGTAAACTAAAATTGATAAAGAATTATTGTAGGGCCACTATGGGACAAGAGCGTCTTTCGGATCTCATGATGTTTTCAGTGAAAAACGAGTTGGCTAAGACTCTTTCATACGATGATACAATAATAAATTTTGCCAGTAAAAAAACAAGAGTGTTTTATATAGGCCATTTTTGGTTGTTTTAAAAAATGAACCAATAAAAACGCACACAAAATAAAACGGCATTTTTTTTAAAACGAAAGGGCCTAAACCCTATATTTTTCTTCAGATCTTTCCTTAACTACGCTGAGTAATAAAACTGATAGTCAAAACGGTGGTGGCAGAATGTAAAAGTTCGATTAGTTGTCATCAACAATCTTGTCAATAAACAATAAGTTTTTATAAACTGCTTGAAACAATAGTTTACAACTTTAAGTATTAAACTAATTACATAACTTTAAATAAAAAATTTTTGAACGCAACATTTAATGGAACATGCAATCTTAGACGTCAAAATGAGTATAAATTTTGCAGGTAGTACAAATTCGGTTTCTTCCAGTGACTTGTCCTTTAGTGTAAACTTAGAACTTCAAAAACTTGGCTCAGTGTTAACAGTGCTTTTAAATATCAGCAAAAAAAAACCAATATTGAAAGAAGACAATTTTCAAAACTTTCGTGCTTATCAATGAAAACTTATCTCGAAATTTTCTTATTAATACAATTAATACGAAAATATAGAAATTTTCAAACCTTATTTGTTTTCAAACAAAAATTTAAAATGGAAAAAGTTTCCACTAGTAGTAGATTGTTTAGATATTCTAAATAAATTAAAAAAAAGCTAATTTCTACACTAATAAACGTTTTGTGTAAAAAAAAAACATTTTGTGTGTATGATGATAAAATTAGACGTTGTCAAATCTATAGCGCTTTAAAGCGTCTACTTATCGCTTGCAACTTATTTTAAAGTAAATAGATATGTTAACTAAATATAATTACGAACGTATATAAAACCAAAAAAACAATTTTTTCATATAGGTTTTAATATAACTGTCCTTATAAAATTCAATAATATTTACAACCCTCGTAGATGTTTATTATTTATAACATTTGACTTACTTTTCTTTTTCCTCCAAGAACTTTTAATCTAGATTTTCGTAAATAATATCGGATATAAATTTATTTATATCTAATATTTATTTATATCGGATATAATTTATTTAAACGCTGATACTATATTCATTATTTCTAAATGATCCCATTAATTGCTCAATTTGCCCGACTTGTTTAGGTAATGATGCTGTCATTATGTATGGTCCATGCTCTGTAATCAGCACATCATCCTCAATACGAATTCCGATACCACGATACCTAAACAAAGCCATTCATTAAAACTACATCTAAACAACACAATAGATCGCTAATATTTATTATAATAAAAGAAATAATTATTATATATATATTTAATTTTTTAATAAATTAAAAAACTACAGCTCTATAAACAAAAAATTTAACGCATACTTTTTAGGAACGCTGAGATCATTTTCTGATACATAAAGACCAGGCTCCATGGTAATTACCATTCCAGGACGAAGAGGCAGTCCTCGATGAAGAAGTGGTGTATCGTGAGTATCCATACCAAGGTAATGACCCAAATGATGAGGGCAATACTGCGAAACTTGCTAAAAAAATAGAATAAAAGCAATTTTTAAAAACTTTTTTACATGCTTCGAAGATCATAAATTATGCTTCGAAGATCATAAATTATGCTTCGAAGATCATAAATTATGCTTCGAAGATCATAAATTATGCTTTAGAGAAAAATTAATAAATAAAATCAATTAAAGTTGGAACCGACCTTTTGAAGTTGAGCACTGGAAACATTTTCGGAAAAGAAACCCAATTCTACAATGTTTAAATGTTGAAAAAATGTTATTAACTGAGTAGTGACTTTCAGGGAATAAAGAATGAAAAAAGAATGATAAATTAATTTAGTAAACTTACTTTTTAATTCTGTTGCAAGCGAAACCATCATTGTATTATGAAGATGATCTAATGAAACATCTTCCTTGCATTCCTAGATACATAAAATATTTAATTTTTGCAACATATTGATTTAGTCGGAATGATCAAAAAACATTAATATACAAACTGCATGTTGATGTAGGCCAACTCTCAAAAAATTGCCCCTAATTACAAAAAAAGTCGAGGAGCTTGGGATCACCGCTACTCATGAGTCCCTAATACACGAAGGAGGGAGAGGCTGGGGGACGTTTATTAATTTTTGGAAAATTTTTCCACCCACCCCAAGCTTATTTAGACCCCCCCCCCCCCCGTTTAATAATTTTTACTTGCTATTTAAAAAAAAAAGAGGTGAAAATTGGCCTTAAAAATTAGAAAATATTTATCACAGTCACTAATAAAAACAAAATTTTTCAGTATAAACAGGCTTTAAAAATCACCAACCAAGTTATCGAAAATGAGCTTTTAATTCATTTCTCACCAAAGTATAAAACTTATTAAATCCTATTAAAATTATTATAAAACAGCTGTTAGAAAATGCGCATTTGACCGCAAGTCAAATAGTTTTATGCGTGTTTTGTAAAAAATATTAGTTAAGATTTATAAACTGAAATTAAAAAAAAAAAGTACTTAAATTGTAACATTTAAAAATTCTCCCTACCCCGTTCATTAAATCTGGACCCTCCCTTTTGTTCCCCCCCCCCCTTGAATAAAGGACTCGAGAGTAAATACATTGCGCATTTAGGTAGTCGGTAAAATGCGAACTGCGAACCGGTAAAATGCGAACTTTTTTGCGAACCAAGACATTATATTTTAATGACCAATACGGTTATGATATTTAAAAAAACTTTTGCTCGTCAATTTTTTAATTTAAATTAAATATAGTACAATTTGATATATTTTATTTAAATTAGTTTGTATTTCTTTTAAATTAAATATAATTTATGTTTCTGCTTGAAGTCCACAAAATGTATAGTAAAATAAACAATTTAACGGTAAACGGAAAGTAGAAAATATTACATCATTAACAATCAATAGAACTATGGTTCGCAAAAAAGTTCGCTTTTTACCGGTTCGCAGTTCTTGGTTTGCAGTTCGCATTTTACCGACTACCGCGCATTTAAACTAAGTACAAACGCATTTGAAAAACTTAAAACTGAATGTTTCTAATTTCAAAGCAATTTAGATTAATCTTAATTTATTCTCTCTAACAATAAAATGCTGTCAAAATTTTGCAGAAAATATTTTCACAACCCAGAAATAAAAAATATTTCCACAACGCAGAAATAAAAAAACTATAATAATATTTAATATATAAAACTTATAATTATAATATGTTATAAGCTTTACAGCTTCAAAATATATAAATTAAATAATAAATTAAATTTTAAAATATATTTTTAACTTACAAATTTCAATTATGAAAACGTTACTTATTTTTGTGCATTTTTTATCCCAAGTATTATTTGACATATTTACCTTCAAGCATGTTTCTTGCACGTGCAACACAAGCTCGTATAACTCTTTTTGTGCTTCACTAAACTTTCCATTAACTGGCCAAGTACGTGTGATATCGCTAACATAGCCATGGTACTCACAGCCCCCATCCATTAAAACTAATTCACCGTCTCTAAAATATTAACTTTTGAGTATTATTATGCGCGTGTGATAGGGGTTGCAAGACTAATGATTGTTGAAAGCAATAATGGTTACCTCAACAACTGGGTATTGTTTATGTAATGAAGTGTATTAGCGCTATTTCCACCAGCAACAACTGGTGGAAAAGAAAGAAACTGAGCTCCATCGATGCGACACTCATATTCCAAAAGAGCATGAAGGTTGGATTCAATCATGCCAGGTCGAGTACTTTTTATTACCTAAGCAATTCAATATTAATGAATAATTGCGATTAATAAATGAATGAAGAAAAATAAAACTTCCTAAACACACTTAGAAACCAACATACTTTAGAAAACGCTTTCGAAGCAATAGTTGCCGACTTTTTTAATAAGTTTATTTCAGACGCACTTTTTATCAAGCGAATCATCTGCAAGTTAAAACCAAGTTCTTGAATTGCTGAAAAAATTATTCAGTCATTCCAAAGTCTTTATAACAATGTAAAAAATTAATTTAAACATAATTTTAAAAATGTCAACATTAGTAATACAAAAAATGTATAAACCTTTTTTTTTGAAATTGGTATCATTTAACAAAGATAAGATGATCTGCTGGTTTCCTGCGTGACTGGTTCTTCGATTTTTATACCAAACACAATAGCCAGAGTTATTAAACTTTTCTTGCATCATAGACGTGAACGAATTTAATGGAAAAGACTATATATATATATATATATATATATATATATATATATATATATATATATATATATATATATATATATATATATATATATATATATATATATATATACACGTTAATATGTATGCGTGTGCGTGTGTGCAGTAAACAAAAAATACATTACAACAATATTTACAAAATATGTAAGAAAAAAAAACAAAAAATACTTCATCCGCATTAAAATAATCAACAGCAGCTTGTTGTCCTATAACAGCTCCATCCCATAACTCTCTCTTTGGATCTTTTGGTTTCACAAATAACAAAAACTTTAGGCGAGATGACACACGGTTAAAATCTAGCCAATAGCATTGTATTTAAATAAAATTAAAATTAGTCAGTGTCACAGTTTGCAATCAAACTACAAAAAACGTGCAGAAACTAACCTAGAACTAAAATTGCGTCTGGCTCATTAACTCCAGACAAATAGAGGAAATCTGTGTCTTGATGAAACGGATAACTGAAGGTGTTCAATGAAAATCTTTGTATTTTTTTACAAACACGTCCTTGTTTTTAAAAAATCAGTGCAAAAAATACAAAAGAAAAGATTGACATTAGAAACTAAATTGCACTCACGGGATATCATTTGTCATAATTTTTAAATCTGCAGCAGATAATATAAAAAGATGTTTGTCGTAGTTTCGACCAACATGATCCTCTGCTAAAACGCTATGATATATTTAACACATAAAATACAACAGCATCAATAAACAAAAATATTTACTAATTGAAAAAAAAACTCATACTGCATCAGCTGACGTCTGCGCCATGCGTATTCTTTTCGTGATATTCCAGGCGTAACTAAGTATCAATTAAAATTTTGTAATCAAATTTAAAAAAAATTAAAATTAACGGTATTTAATAAAAATTTACCAAATTTTTTATCTGAAAAATCACTATGGCTGGAATTATACCAATTGAGGATGTTAAATGTTTCAAGCAGTTCATATTGATAATAAAAAGCAAGTAATATTAAAAAAATACTTAAAATTCCAAAAAGAACTTTATATAAAAAGAAACGTTTCATAACACCGTTAAGCCATTTTTCAGTACTAAAATAAACGCATTAAAACTAAAACTTAGTTAAAGTTGTGTATTCGGGACAATAAAATGGCAACAAAAGCCGGATAAACAACAGGTTTCATTCACAAAAAAAGTGCTCAAAAAAAGAAGAAAAAAAAAATGTTTATAGAAAACAAAAACAAAAACAACAACAACAACAACAAAAAACGCTCCAATGTAGAATGGTTTGGAAGTTTGAGTATTAATACATTAGCGTATTAACGCTAATCTATTAATATTCAAACTTCCGAAAATTTAGAAAATTTAGAAATTTAAATTAATCTACTAGAAGAATAACCTAAATTTTCAAAACTCTTTCAAACTAGCAAAAGTATTGCATTAGCAATACTTTTGCTATAGGTTATTATATATATAAGACTAACCTAAATTTTCAAAACTCTATTTTTATTTAAGATTATATATGTATAATCTAATAATAAGTATGAACTTATTTGGCTGATCTTTGGTGATACTTAGATGATCTTTATTGTAAGATATAGCCTAGCAACAAAGATCACCATAGATACAATATCTTTCGTAAATGAGTTTATATTAGTCAAAAAGTCATATATAATTCTACTGGATTTTCGACAGGATAAGTTAACCTACCTAGTTGAAATAAAAAATAATTATTAAATAAAAATACTGATTACTCGTTTTAATAATTTTTTAAAATTGAAACAAAAACCCTTATTTATTTTAACTTAATATAAAAACTTAAATGTAAAAAATCACACATCTTTATTTTTAAATAACTTACTTTCATGGATGCTTTCAAACAAATGAGTATGCGAAAACGCTGTAGGTTGCCCAATATTAATTTTTTCAGATAAGTTGGGCTTACTTTCTATAAAAAATGTTTTGTAAGTCCAGTTATTATTTAGTATAACATTTAAATACTTAAATTGCTAATAAGAACAATAATAAAGAGGAAATATTACGGGGGAAAAAAAAAATTAATTTTTTTTTATTTTATTTTATTTTTGTTTCAGCAAAAGTAAACTAAAAAATATAATGGAGGGAAACAAAAATACAAAATTGAGGTTGATTTTTTCACACAGTTTATTAAAGCTGACAAAATCAAATTCAAAGTAAAATAATCCATTAAAGAAATCTTAAAAACTTTGAATTATTATTTAATTCACAAAAGTTTACCAATGTGTGCAAAAAAGCATGCAAACACTATAAATGTCTTAAAGAGAAACATTGCAAGAAAAATAGATACATATTTATACTTTCACAAGCATCAAAAGATATTATTTATAGAAAGTTATTTGGTTAATTCCTATATAGAGTTTAATGCTAATCAGTTATTTGGTTACTTCTTATATAGAGTTTAATGCTAACCAGTTATTTAGTTACCTCTTATATAGAGTTTAATGCTAACCAGTTATTTGGTTACCTCTTATATAGAGTTTAATGCTAACCAGTTATTTGGTTACTTCTTATATAGAGTTTAAAGCTAACCAGTTATTTGGTTACCTCTTATATAGAGTTTAATGCTAACCAGTTATTTGGTTACCTCTTATATAGAGTTTAATGCTAACCAGTTATTTGGTTACTTCTTATATAGAGTTTAAAGCTAACCAGTTATTTAGTTCCCTCTTATAGAGTTTAATGCTAACCAGTTATTTGGTTACCTCTTATATAGAGTTTAATGCTAACCAGTTATTTGGTTACTTCTTATATAGAGTTTAAAGCTAACCAGTTATTTGGTTACCTCTTATAGAGTTTAATGCTAACCAGTTATTTGGTTACCTCTTATACAGAGTTTAATGCTAACCAGTTATTTGGTTACTTCTTATATAGAGTTTAAAGCTAACCAGTTATTTGGTTACTTCTTATATAGAGTTTAAAGCTAACCAGTTATTTGGTTACCTCTTATATAGAGTTTAATGCTAACCAGTTATTTGGTTACCTCTTATATAGAGTTTAGTGCTAACCAGTTATTTGGTTACTTCTTATATAGAGTTTAAAGCTAACCAGTTATTTAGTTACCTCTTATAGAGTTTAATGCTAACCAGTTATTTGGTTACCTCTTATATAGAGTTTAATGCTAACCAGTTATTTGGTTACTTCTTATATAGAGTTTAAAGCTAACCAGTTATTTAGTTACCTCTTATAGAGTTTAATGCTAACCAGTTATTTGGTTACCTCTTATACAGAGTTTAATGCTAACCAGTTATTTGGTTACTTCTTATATAGAGTTTAAAGCTAACCAGTTATTTGGTTACTTCTTATATAGAGTTTAATGCTAACCAGTTATTTGGTTACTTCTTATATAGAGTTTAATGCTAACCAGTTATTTGGTTACTTCTTATATAGAGTTTAATGCTAACCAGTTATTTGGTTACTTCTTATATAGAGTTTAATGCTAACCAGTTATTTGGTTACTTCTTATAGAGTTTAATGCTAACCAGTTATTTGGTTACCTCTTATATAGAGTTTAATGCTAACCAGTTATTTGGTTACTTCTTATATAGAGTTTAAAGCTAACCAGTTATTTAGTTACCTCTTATAGAGTTTAATGCTAACCAGTTATTTGGTTACCTCTTATATAGAGTTTAATGCTAACCAGTTATTTGGTTACTTCTTATATAGAGTTTAATGCTAACCAGTTATTTGGTTACCTCTTATATAGAGTTTAATGCTAACCAGTTATTTGGTTACTTCTTATATAGAGTTTAATGCTAACCAGTTATTTGGTTACTTCTTATATAGAGTTTAATGCTAACCAGTTATTTGGTTACTTCTTATAGAGTTTAATGCTAACCAGTTATTTGGTTACCTCTTATATAGAGTTTAATGCTAACCAGTTATTTGGTTACTTCTTATATAGAGTTAAAATAACGAGTTTTGCTCGTGTTGGAATTGCTCTTTTTACAAAACATATGAAAACAATGAAACCTTTGAAAAGAAAACAATAGATACCTTTGAAAAGAAAACAATAGATACCTTTGAAAAGAAAACAATAGATACCTTTGAAAAGAAAACAATAGATACCTTTGAAATAAAAACAATAGATACCTTTGAAATGAAAACAATAGATACCTTTGAAATGAAAACAATAGATACCTTTGAAAAGAAAACAATAGATACCTTTGAAAAGAAAACAATAGATACTTTTGAAAAGAAAACAATAGATACCTTTGAAATGAAAACAATAGATACCTTTGAAATGAAAACAATAGATACCTTTGAAATGAAAACAATAGATACCTTTGAAATGAAAACAATAGATACCTTTGAAATAAAAACAATAGATACCTTTGAAATGAAAACAATAGATACCTTTGAAATGAAAACAATAGATACCTTTGAATATAATTAAAGATCCTTTTATTCCAGAAGATGCTAATCAAATGTGTTTTAAGGATGGCTGTAATGGAGCAGGGCAGCAAGCGCCAATGAAATCAAAAGAAATGTTTGAAAATATATCAAATGTATTAATACAAACTTATTTTCTTGAAACTAATATGCAATCAAGGAATGTTTTGTTTGTTTAGCAAAAATTGAAGTAAAAATTCATCTCTGCAACCACAGTCCATCACCACTCAGTTAAATTAATTCTTAATGATGAATATGGCCTTGGTAATTTATCTGAAGAAAGCCTAAATGCTTCTCTCTCATAAGACATATCAGACCTAGTACAACTTACAAATGTGAAGAGTGGTCTCTTAGAGAGATCTAATCCTGGTGTTTTAAAGCAAATTATTCATTATAATCCTCAAAGTTATGTCAAAATTGTAGCTCAAATAAGTGCAATATTTGAAAAAATTTGAAAAATCTTAATTATGATTAGTTATTATGTTTTTACTTCAAATACCTACCTTCATATACCTCCAAATATATCTTTATATATCAATTTTTTTTTTAAACATTTTTTATCATAACAAAATGATTTAAAATCAAAATTTGACCAAATGATAGTTTTGATAGATAAACATTAATAAAAATGGATAAACATTAATAAAATTCAGATTATTAAAAATATGAATTCCAAACTGGTATTAAATTAATTACTTGATACCAGGCCTTGTATCAAATGTAGACTTGAATGTTGAAAATACAATTGCATTTAAAGTTACAAAAAATCAAAAATAGTATTTAATAATAGAATATTAAAAAACATAAATTTATATATATAGTTAAATTTATTAGCAGTTACTCATAACTAAATGACAATATAGCTATTGCTTGTCTTTTTTTTTAATATTCTCTAAAACATTTTTTATAATACAAAATGTTCAGATAATTATCTTTTGTTGAGATTTTGACTCTTAAAGAGTCAAATAAATCAATAAAAGCATTCTTTTAACTTTCTTTTTTTAACAAAATTTAAAATATTTTATTAATTATTAATAAATTATTAAAAATTTAAAAAATAATTTAAAATTAAAATCCTTTACCATTTAAAATTTGCATTTAGCAAATTTAATCACAATTTTAAATGGTAAAAGAAAACACATTTTTTTCTATAATAATCTCACAAAGTTTGTTTTTTACAATAAAATACTGTATTGTATGTATTTATGTCTGTATGTAGGGGGGATAAAAATAAAAACTTAGGGCAAAAATAAAACTGTTGGTATTTGGAATTACCTTACATACGTGGGGGTGTTTTCAACACACTGTGGGGCAATCACTAACACTATTGTGTAATAACAAATAAAATGCTAATTGTAATAATTAAGTGCAAAAGTTATATTATGCAGCAACAACAACAAAAGGAGTGGTTTTATTTTCATAGTAGCAACAACCGGTATGATCTGCGGTAGTGGTGTAGTGGTAGAGCGCTCGCTTTATAAATGAGTGGTTCCGAGTTTGATACCCACCACGTCCCTGGTAGTATCGCGCTCAACTCGTTTCTCCCCACAGCGGCCTTGTTTGCCAAGGTTCGTGTTTCGGAGTTATAGAGTTGAGAGAGGGTTATAGCCATAAAATAAGTAGCCTCCTCGTCTGTAGTGGCCTTCTTGGCCTTGAGGAGGTGAAGTAAAATTAAAAACAAAAAACAAAAACGGAATGTTACTGAAGAAAAAAGTTGCATGAAATCATCAGAAAAAGTTAGGATCAAATTATTGTATACAACAATCACAGCTTTATTACACGTCTGGAACTGAGCTTTTTAACTAACTGAACTTTTTAAACTCATTCACCTCCTTTAGGCCAAGAAGGTCACTACAGTCGAGGAGGCTATTTTGTTGTGGTTACAAAACTCTCTCTACTCCTTAACTTCAAAACACGAGCCTTGACAAACAAGGCGGCAGCTTGGAGAAACAAGTTGAGCCCAGTACTATCTGAGGTGGTGGGGATTGAACTCTGAAATTCTTGTTTATGAAGTGAGCTCTATTGCTACATTACTATCGCCTACCAATGCCACTACTGCCTGTCTGAAATATTTGTAAAAAATAGATTTAAACATTTTGGTTCTAATGATGGTTTTTTTAATTGTATTTTTTGGGTACTTTATTCATGTTTTTAATAACTAGCGAACATGAATCAAAGATATTACAGACACCCCAAGCAATAAGCTATGCAGTTGTTTCATTCCTGCTTATCAACACAAAGTTGTAACAAAGAGCACTTTATGTTTTTTTCAACAATGCACTTTAAAAGCACTAACAAGAACACCTTTAATTAGAGGTTGCTTGCTAACTTGTTGGGAATAAATGTGTAACAGAATCTAATATATCATATATTAGATTACTTAAACAATAAAAAATCAATAAATAAATGATTATTTATTAATTTGTGATAATTTTGCTTGAAATGCATGAAAAAATTATTTTACAATCTTAAACATCAAAATATTTTATATTGTTTGCAAAAAATATATAAACATTTTTATAAATCTACAATTGAAATAAATAAAATGAGGTTTATAAATATAAAGGTTCATAACTAAATATGAAGTTTAAACATACCAATTTCAAACTGAACTTTATTTGTACCACTTAAGTACCTTGTAACTCCAGAGTAAAAATCTAAAGAAAACAAATTTTACTGAAGGTTTGGGATAACACAAAATGTCTAAAACTTGAACTATAAATTTAACTATGGGCATGTTGACAAGAAATTTTCAAGAACATCTCAAACAATGTTACATTTTCATTTTTACAAGTCATATAATATTTTTATGGTCATGGTTAATAACTTAGTTTAATTTTATTATTATTCGTCTTATGAGGTCCAGCTGATAATTTTGTGAATATAGATATTTTGGTTTTTAAATGTGCTATTATTATTTTTACCCATTTTTTATGAACTTTTTTATTAAAAGATGACAATTAAAGTATGAAGAAAAAAAAAAAAAGAAACAAAAAAAAAGACTGCTGCCCTATGCCAAACCCTCAGTTGATGTAGGGGCACTTCTTTGCAGCAGCAGGATACAAGTTAGTCAATGTATGTACTAAAGCCTCCCACAGCAGGCTATATCAATGTTACCCGCAGCAGACATCAGTTTTATCCTCAGCAGGCTATACCAGTGTTACTTTTGAGTATTCAGATCTGCATTTCGTCAGCAAAAGAGCTGACTGTATGGTTTTTTTGGAAAAAGGAGGAAACAAAAAATAAGTAAAAAAATAATTGCTGCCCTAACCCAAACCCTTAGTCGATGTAGCAGCACCCCCTTGCATGTTCAACATAGATAGTCAGTTGATATATATACTGAAATCCTCACAACTCCTACTTTTGCATGAGGTATTTTAAAATAATTAAAGTTTTTAAACACCCCCAATATTTCTAAAAGATATATAATATACATAATATATACAACTAACTTAATATAAATACTATAATTAAAAACATTTACTCCATGTTCCACTGTAAAGGTTTAGAACCTTCTTTAAGTTTTTTAATGAAGAAGCCATCAAATTATGCCATCAAAAACTTTGTTTTTTTGTTAATTAAATTTGCAAAACTTTAAAAATACCACTGAACAATTTTGCTATTAAAAAGACAAATACACAATGAATAAATGCTCTTTTATAGTAAACAATTCTTTAGATGTAAGAAATACAAAACAAATTTACTCTAACTTATTTTTTCATTATACCATCATACATCATGCATATAAATCATACTTTAAATATCTTTTTTTAACATGATGATAAAATAAAAGAATAACAATTAATGCGAGTAAAAAAAAAATTAAATACAAAAATTGAGCAAAATAAAAGTAACAAAGTATAAACAAATTTTTACAATAATGCATAAAAAAAACAACTATCGAAATTCATCTTTTAAACACCAATTCCCAGGACCGTTTAAAGACTTTTCAAAGATGCAAACTTGTTTTAGCAACTCTTTAAATATAACATTTTGTTCCTTATCAATACGATTTTGAAAAAAGGTTGTAATTTCATCAGTACTTACAACATTACTCTGCCTTTGCAACATAAATGTTTGAATATCTTTCAGTAAAGTAAGTTCTGTAGATTCATTGACAATGCTAGAGTTTTGAGATGGTTCAATATTTAAACTTCTACTTTTCATGCGAGCTAATAAGGCACTAGAAGAAATATCAACAGAGTTGTTGGTTATACCAACAGAACCTTTATCTACTGAGGCTGTAGTCTCTTTATTAGAGGTGATATGGTTAACTTTTTTCCCAAATAATGTCTTTTTTTTATTATTCGTCTTCTGTATACAGCCCCCTGTCCAAGTTGGTATTGCAAGCCCATTTTTTTTGCATTCTTTTCTTGATGCTCTTAGAGCATCAACAGCTTTTTTAGCAATGTTTTCTGCTTCCTTTTCAATTAACAAGTAATCACTAGTACTGCTTAGCTCTATTTTATCATGTTTTATAGCACTGTGAATGCCTGAAGTCCGAAACAAATCTAGTAAGATATCATCTTCATTTAATAGTTGTTTCTTTTCAGTGTCTGGTAAAGATTTTTTTTTTAAAACTTCTTTTTTATCAACATGATCCACACAAAAACCGTCCACTATAAATTTTTCTTTTTTATAATTTTTCTTTTTCTTTGAACTATGTAAACTTTTTGCAAAATTTTTATCAGGAACAAGTGAAAAATTACCTTGATTGTTTTGATTAGAAATAAATTGATGTGTTTTATTATTTTTGTCATAATTTTTTGATTTCAGATCAGATGTTTTATCTACTGATTTTTCTACAACATCTTTAATAACTTTTGGTACTTCTGATTTTAATCGATTACGTTTTCTTATTTTAATTTCTGAACCAGTGCCAGCAAATAATGACCCTGTCTCTGTTGATTCTAGTGGTCCAACATCACCTAGAGTAAAAAGTTCATGCAAATCATTGTTTTTAAAAAAGCGTCGCTGGTATGGATTGGTCAACACACGATTGGTTAAAAACTGTTTGAAAATTTGCCTAAAAAAACCATTTTAAAACATAATATTCTTAAAAGCATTATATTTTTAATAATATAAAATAAATAATACAATAATAAAATAAAAAAAGGTAATATAATAATACAATTATTATTTTTTATGTATTTTTTATGTTGTTCAAGTTTCTTTAGTTACATAATAATAATACAATTATAAGTATATACAAATATGTTAAGCATTTTTTATATCCTAATTAAAATATATTGAAATTAAGAATATTAATCATGTAATTAGCAACATGAGTTAGCTGAGTGCGGTGCTATCAACATGTAGTTCTACACTCAGCCCAATTCTCTGTAAACTGTATTGTCTGCCAATGTTTGTGTATTTAAAAAATAATAGAATATGATCGTCTCCCCAACTAAAGCAGTTCATATCATCTAAAAATTGAGAAAAGGTTTGTATTTATGTTGTAAAAGATTTTTATGTTATTTCTAATATAAAAACAACTTAATGTCAGCTTTACAAGTATATTACTTTTCTATATATTTTTTAAAATATTGTGTAAAGTTCATTACATATGTAAGTGTATTTCCCTTAGGAAAGTGGCAATATTAGCAAGTCAAGTATTTATTCAAATGTATGTGTACAAAAAACAAGCTTTTGTTTATTATATTAGATGATCTGCTTTGATAAAAACCTTTTAAACAAAACTATTGTAATTTTAATTTTACTAATCCCCTACCCCAAAACCTTTAATTGAATAAAAAAACCTGTGATATATTTTTTCTTCAATTGTCCCAGTAGTTAGAAGGCGATAAATAGTAACATCCTTTAACTGGCCGATTCTCCATGACCGTTCTCTTGCTTGACTATCCACACTCGGGTTCCAGTCTGGATCATATATAATAACTCGATTGGCTGCAATCAAATTTAAACCTAGACCTCCAACCCGAGTTGTCAACAAAAACACGAAAATATTTTTGCTCTAAAATAAAAGTTTTATTTTTATTGTAAAAAAACAAAAACATTGTTAAATTGTTTTGAAAAAAATTATTTGTCTTAAATGTTTCAATACTTAAAGCATTCACAGAAATAAAAAAAACTGTTTACAAATTTAGATAAGTTATATATATTACAACACTAAACTAAAAGTTACTACACATTATAAAAGTTTAAATGAGAAAGTAATTACTACTACATTTATAATGTAGTATAAGATATATGAAAATCAATATTCAGCAATGACTTTGATTATTTTAAAATAAGTAACCAAGCCGTTTAAGCTAATAATACGTGAAACTTTTTTTGGCACTTTTAGAGACCCTTCACCCTCTCTCTTATGTGATATATTGTAGTGTTGTTAAGAATATCCCCTACCCTACCCTCATGTGTGATGTGACAATGACAAAAATTTAGAATTTTTATAAATACATATTTAATTTGTAACAGTTCATGTTTTTAAAAAAATACAATTGACAAATTTTTGTTCAAGACCTAGATTTGTTCGCAAAATAAACTTTGACCTTTAAGTATTGGAGTATTATGTTCTTCAATAATTATTGAAGGTCACTTGAGGTCAGAGGAATCAACACCGACCTGATCATACCACTTGATTGTTTCATTGTCCAAATTTAAAAAGTCACACATGAGATTAGATAGTTGTTTAAGGTTTAACTTTTTGAATCTCATTTAATGATACAATAACTGAGCAAAATATTTTGTGTTGATTTATTGAATTGATAGTGGAAAAATATAGACTGCAATTGATACAAATTCTTTTTGGTAAGGAACTTTGAATGCTTGGGCATGATTAGTCATATGGCAATCTTTTGGAAAGTTTTTTTGTAACTGTCTTGAGAAATAATTGTTTTGCTAAGTGATAATTTAAAAATAAGCTGGAAAAGTTGTTCTTTGTATTATTGCACTAAAGGCCAACTTCTCCATGACTAGAGAAATTGGTAGAGAAAGAAAACCATTTAGAATAAGATAAAACAGTGAGCTGCAACGATGACCAAAGCAGTTTTGATCATTACATATTACAATTTGAAGTAAGTAATGACTTTCTGACGTGCTTAGCATCCCACTCTGCTCCAAACTGCTTTAACTGTACACATTTTTCACTGTTCAGTTCTTTTACTTTTCCATAACTTTGTCTGCTGTTTCTCCTCTTGTGATGGCTTAAAAAAATTTGTAAAAAAATTAAATGGAAATATAATTCCTGCTAGGTCATGATTTAGCATGAGTCATTCTTTTCTCTACCCTGTTAAAAGTATTTTTTTCAGAAGCATTGGTGGCCAACATGCCATCAAGGTCATGCTCTTTAAAATAAATCTTGGAAAAATGAATTATTTTCATAGATTTTTGTCTGCCCCACCATCAACAGTTATAACCATAACTGCTTTGCTAACTCAATCTTCAGTGAATAAGCTGCTTTCAAGATTGACTTTGTTTATGTCTTATAAGTGACTAAGTGCTGTTGATGAATCATAAGTGCAAAATATGATTTAGTGCTCCTATTAAGCTATTAGGTACAGCTTTAACATGTTTTTTTCTTTCTGTGCTCAATGATCTGGTTGAAAGTAATCTTAAGTAAACTCTTAAAAGTAAAATCTTAAGAGATTGTAACCATGGAGAGGTTGTAACCATGTTTTTTCAATACTTCAACCAAGTCATTTAATGTTTCTACAGTTGGAACAATTTCAGTTCTTCTTCTATCATCAGTCCTTTCATGGCAATATCTAGAATTGTTTTAATTATGTGGTAGTGGTGTAGTTGTAGAGTGCTTGCTTCATAAGCGAGAGGTTCCGAGTTCGATCCCCACCACATCCCTGGTAGTACCGCGCTCAACTTGTTCCTCCGTGCAGCGACCTTGTTCGTCAAGGTTCGTGTTTCGGAGTTATAGAGTTGAGAGAAGGTTATAACCACAATTAAGTAGCTTCATCGTCTGCAGTGGCCTTCTCGGGCTTGGGAAGGTGAATTAACAACAAAAAAAAAATTAAAGCGTCCTGATCACAGGCTAGTGGTCAACCTTTTAATACTGTATTTTTAATTCCACACAACTTTTATCTAATATCTAGATCTAAAACTTCTATTGCTTTTTTTCTTTTTAGACTGGTTACTGTTTAAAGTTTAGTGGCTTTTTGACGAAGTAAAAAATCTTAGTTTTTTTGAAAGAATTATGCAGTGATCAAAATTTTATATTAAAATGTTTTTTGTCACAACACATTGTAGCAAACCCCCCCTCCCAATGTGATATTCGGTGACACTTTCCAGTAATTAAAACAACAAAATAAAAATAATTTACTTGGTATAATAACTTTGGTTGGATAAAAACTTATTTGATTTTAGTTGGATAATAACTTATTTGATTTTGGTTAGATTATAGCTTATTTGATTTTAATTGGACAATAAATTTTTCGATTAAAGCAAATTTTAATCGTGGTTGGATAATAACATATTTGATTTTGGTTGGATAAAAACATATTTGATTTTGGCTAGATAATAACTTATTTGAATTTGGTTTGATAATAACCTATTTGATTTTGATCTGATGATAACTTATTTGAGTTTGGTTGGATAATAGGCTGGATAATAACCTATTTGTTTTTGGTCTGATAACTTATTTGAATTTGGTTGGATAATAGGTTATTTGATTTTAATTAAATAAAACATTTATTTAAAAACATGAAGCCTTGATCTAATTTTTAAACTAAGTTTAAAAATTAGATCAAGGCTTAAACTAACTTTAAAGTTTAAGCAATAATAAAACTAAAAATTAAACTAACTTTAAAGTTTAAACAACTTGAACATGTGACAAAATAACTTAATTTTATGTCAGATATTAAATAACATTTATTTTTTTTGTATTGATTTTTCAATTTTCTAATCTATTTCTCACTTTTTTTATCCTAATATATCCTATAACTAATATCTAATATCTTATAACTATTTTTTTATCCTACATTATGATAATAACTATATGTTAATAAACTAAACTCTATAAATGACTGAGAATTTTTAACAGCTTTAAATCTTTAATAAAGATATGCTTTTTATATTATATATGTTTTAACATTACATAGTTTGAAGTTTACATAAGTTAGTTATTTGCATTTCGTTCACATTTTCTTATTAAAAAAAGTACTGCAACTCTTTCTCGCCATTACTTCGGTTGCAATGGCTGCCATGTCAATATTATAATAGCATTTTTAATAATATTGTTAAAACATGTTTAACAACAAAATGACTTTCTTATTATATGGTAATAAAACTGCTTTTAAAAGCGGATCTAAATACAACAAATAAATACCGAAAATATTTGATAACTGTTATTTATGTTTTATATGAAATGACTTTAGAAAAAAATTTTAATCAAGTTTTATCGATTTCTTAGTTTTCCATACAAAAAGTTAACCAAAGAAATTTGCTAAAAGGGGTATGGAAAAAATTGATAGAATTAAGAAAATTCGAGTTATCTGAAGTTCGTCTTAACCAGAAAACTTTAAAAGTAATTAATTAGACAATATCAAGGGACCAAATAGAATAAATTGACTTACCAGGAATTAACTGTACAAAGTATCGAAAATTAAATGTATAAACAAAATAAAACTTTAAAAAAAAGTAACAGTATTTGTTTTTAACTATATATAACTTTAAGATATTAAAAAACTTTGTCATCCTAAAATTTCTTTAACACAAAAAGATATCATTGGAATACAATCAAATTTCCATTAACTCTGCAACTTTGTTATAAAAGAGTTCAAACTTTTTCCAAATACAATTCAAAGTAGTTAATTTTAAAAGTATGGTGTCCATTAAATTGTTATTAAGTATTAAATTATATTTTAAATGATATCTCAAACAGAGATCTAGTCATGATAGTAAAGACCAAAACCGAGACCAAGACCAAGACATCAAAAAGTCCCAAGACCAACACTTTGAAAGTTTTCACAAGAACAAGTTCAAAACTTCGATTCTTAGAAGTCCAACACAATAATGCTCACACATTATGTATACTGTTATGATTTTAGCTGATGTGTTATATTACCACTTATACAAATTACTATAAATAAAAAGTAATTATACATGTATAATATAATTGGATTAAAATATTGTGCAATGCAATCTTTAATAATACCAGAAAACTAACAGGTTTCTTATATTGTTAAAAAACAAAATAAAAAAAAACCAATAAAAAATGACAAAAAAATATCACATTGTGAAACTAAGAATAGCACTAGAGACCAAGACTTAAGTCTTGAAACCTCTGGTCTTAAATCTTGAGACATATATCTCTGGTCTAAAATAAAATTTTATTTTCTTCTTAACATACTTTTAACATAATTTTATATCTCTGTGCAAAATATTTTTTTACAAACTTTTTCAAAATTTCCGTTGCACTAAATGTAAAGGTTAAAAAAAAAAGTTTATCAAATAATAAAGAAGTTTAATTATATAATTCTGAATTATATAATCTTATTGTAAATATGAAAACTAGTTTAAAAAAGATATTATAAAAATTAAAAATTTACAAAAACAAATTGAGTTTAAAGGCTTACTTCATGAAACTTTTTAACTATACCATGTCTGCTTTTTACACTGGTGGTACCATCCATACGCATATAGGAATGTTCAGCAGCTTTCAAAAAACCTTCTAAAATATCCAACATCTGTATAATAAACAAATTCATTAAAACAAAACATGAGCCATTAACAGGTATTGACAAATTTAAATTAAATAATGGAAGATTTGTTTAGAGTTACGAAAGATTTATGTTTTATTTATTTCATCAAATATTTGAAAAATAATCAAACTATAAAGAATAAGATACAAAGCTGTAGTAGATACAAGCTATAGCTTATAGCTGCAATGATTAAGTAAAATAAAAGATTAAAATAATTAAGCAAACCAATGATGACTATTTTAATTTTAAATTATTAAATAAACTAACAAAAAAATTAATAATTTATGTGATAAAAAATAAACAATTTTATTAAATAGTTTTAGTAAAAAATATAACCTAATAAAATAAATTACCCAAAAAAAACTTATTTACCTAAATAAATGTTACCTGCTTTGACTGTGTAAATAAAAGGACGCGATGCCCTTGATGTTTCCACATTCTTAATAAATTTTCAACCACAATCATTTTCCCTGATCGTTTCCAAAAACCATAACAACTAGCATCATCTAAACTAGCTGGTTTCCCTTTTTCTACTTCAGCAGCTAATGATACCAAATCAGGATGATTACATATTTTTCTTAGTTTAATTAAACCCGGAAAAATCTAAAACAAACATTAAAAACCTGTTTAAATATATTGATATCAACTCCGAAGAAAACTTCTATGAATAAAAATAATTTTCTTTCATTTGAGTGTAATGAAGATCTATATACCAACAAAATTTGTGTTTAAAAAACTTTCCTTCAAACAAAGTAAATGGGTCCTACTTGGTGTATTTAGGCGATTTTAATAATATATTTGCTGACTACAACAATTTTGCGTTAAACGATCAGGTCTGTAAATCATGAAAAAACAAAAAAAAATTAAAGTGATTAATTTTACTGTAACATAAGATAAAAATGTTTGTAGCAAAAAAATCCAAACAGAAGATTTTAAAAAAAAAATCACGATTGCTTGTTTAAATTTGAACGAGATTTTTAAATAAATACACTTTTTAGGTGAAATATAGTTTTATAATATGATCTGTTCTGAATGTTGGCAATTTATCTTAAAAATAAGCTCTTTCTTGGTCAGAATTCTAATATTTTTAGCAAAAATTTATAAAAATCAAGTGTTTTGGCAATTATACTAAAATTAAGTTAACACTTTTGAGCAGAATTGATCTAAAGACTTTAAAATGGTATTGTTTAGATTCGTAATTAGGGGTAATAAAAAATTTTGAAAAATATAAAAAAATTAAAAAAGTTTCTTTAAACATAAAAAATTGATGCAAAAAAAAATTATAGCATCTAAAGCTGTTGTTTGGACATACTATGCTGACAAAATCATGCTAATTCTAAAAAAAAGAATTTGAATAATTTAAAAAACATTCTATCCTATTCATAATCCTATTCATATTACTCAGTGTAGTCTTAACTACACTGAGTAATATGAATAGGATTTCAAAAAATTTTAAAAACTAAATTTTCAAGTTAAAACTATTTTCAATATAAATTTGCAGAAAAATTAGGCAAACAAAATTTTGCAAAACAGCATGTACTAGTAGAAAATAAAAAGGCAAATAAAATTTTGAAGGAATTAAAATACTGTTAATTTTAAATGATTTCAAAAGATAAAGCTATATATTTTCTTTAAGAAACTCACAACAAACCCAAGTTAAAAATAAAACTTATATTTTTTAAAAAACTCACACCAAGTTAAAAATAAAACCTATATAAGCAATATTTTAAAACTTCTGATTATTTACCAGATTAATTACCAGATTTATTGATTATAAAAGTACTAAAAAATCACCAAATCTTCATATTTGTGGTTTAACAAATTTTAATGCATAGAAAATCATCAAATTTTATATTTAAAAAACAAATTGCTATATATTTATAACCCTTCACACTATCAAAATTTTAACCCATCACACTAACCAAATTTTAATAGGATTGCTTCCTTTAAAAAATAATTGAAAATATCAATTATTTCGAAATGTGGTTTTTAACTAGAATTGTATGTTGTTAGAATACACCGATTGAGCGAATTTAAAAAACGTCATTTTATAAGAGGTCTGGACTCTAATAGGAAGGGTAAAATGATACTTCCGTTATTCATAATATACTTGAGAAAACGAAGTATAAACATCTAACTAACACTGTTAAAACAAATATTTACTATAAAAATAATTATGGATTACGATATGATTTCAAAAATGAAAGTTGAAGAGTTAAAGAACTATCTGAAGTTAAGGGGATTAAAGTTAAATGGTAAAAAAGAAGAGCTAGTGGCTCGTGTATTTGCTGCAATGGAAAACAATGTTCTACCGATAAAAGCAGCAGTAGAAGTTGAAGCAGATTTACAAAAAGAATATAAATTGAAATTAGATTTATTAAATTAGAAAATTAGATGATATGCAGATACCTGATCCGTTTAAAATTCTTGATGGCTGGATGGACAAACAAGAGGGTATACCATCAGAACTCGGAAGTTTAACCCATCAGAACTCGGAAGTAAAGATATACAGTTACTATAAATCTTCTTGGCTTCAGCCTCTTAAGTATCTTAGTTTACCAGACAGTAATTACTGTATATTTAAATCCGAGTGTCGAAGATCAAAATCTATTAATGATACATATCATAATCATAAACTGTGGTTGGTATTGTACATGCATGGCTGGCATGGGTCAAACTTGTAATCATGTTGCTGCACCAATGTATAGAGTAGAAGCTGCTGTAAGAAATGGTCTAACAATTCCTGCATGTACAAGCACTTCAAATGAATGTCTGCCATCTCAAAAAGAAGTCGCACCTTCTAAAATCAAAGACCTTGACTTTATTCATGAAGATTTTGGCGAAAGAGGTAAAAAAAAAAAAGAAAATTGGTAGATACACAAAAAAATAAGTATAATCCTTTATCCAATAATACTGTACAATTATTAAATATCAATGATGTAGGCTCTGCTCTTGAGAAAATTGTTCCAACAATTTTGTTTACTGCTGTTCTAAAGCCCAAAATAGACTTTATTCGTGAAGTTTTAACAAAAATTGATATGCCACCATTTAATTTACCGAGCATTAACAATGTAATTTCTACCTCTTCATCTTGCGCTGAATTTTTTACAAGATTAAAAGTAAACATGTCAGTTGAGAATATAAATCGAATTGAAGTATTAACACGGGGTCAAAATGAAAATGAACATTGGTATTTTTATCGAAAAGGTGTTAAAGCTGCCTCTAAGGCACACCAAGTAACAACAAATATGGAGAAAATTAAAAAAGCTGTTGATGGGTACCACAACTTTTGGTCACTCAACCAAAAAATATCAGGACTGACCTTTACTAACCAATATTCCAGCCTTTAAATATGGTCGTACAATGGAAGTTGAAGCAGTGAATGCGTTTTATGTAAAAACAAAAAGACAACATAAAAATCTTACTTTAAATGAATGCAGACTTTACCTGGATTATGAACATCCTTATATTGGAGCGAGTCCAGATCGGATAATGTCATGTGATTGCTGTCTTAAAGCTTGTATTGAGGTGAAATGCCCTTTTAAAAGAGGGTGTTGATGTAAAACTTAAAACCGACTATAGTTATTATACCCAATGTATGTAACAAAAGGCTGTTACTAAGTGTTGTGTTACATACTTTGTTGGATGGACCCCACATGGCAAAATTATAGATAAAATTAACTTTGATGTTTCTTTGTGGAATTTATTAAGGGAAAAACTTATTAATTATTATAAAGATTACTATTTAAACCAATATTTAGCACTTAATCTAAATATATGTCATTTTTTAAATACATACATATGTATTTTTCAAAACTGAGTTATTTTGTCTCACTTTTTGTTTTTTTAATAATTAAATTGTGTTTTTAAATAAAATGTATAATACTGTGATAGTTGTTAATCAGACTTTTATTGCTTAATTTTATAAAATTTATATTTTAATATTGGTGGATGAAATTTAAGTGGAAAACTTTACAAAATTTTTTTCGTGCTTGTTTAACCTAAATGTGCTGTTTGTATAATCGTACCTATATATATTAACTTTCACTGCCTTAACATATAATTTATGCTTTTATGGTCTTCGTTTTTATTGATTGATTATTATTTAGAAGTTTCGGCTATGATTTGTGAATATAGTAGCTATCTGGCATTTAAGGGGCTGTGATTTTGAGTTTTAAAGATTTTTTTTCTGTTAAAAAAGCAGTCAGTACTTTTTAAGAATTCGCCCTCTCCCCCTACCCCCATTCTTTTCCTATACTTGCTCCTTTTCCTGCGGGGTCTCGATTTTCTTATGCTGTCATAGTTTCACGAGGATAGGCAATATGCAAATCTAAACTACTTATTTTAAACTTATTTATTATAGATTTAAAATTTATACGATAAAAAGGTTAAACCTTCTAATAAAATTAAGTGTCACAAATTTGACTGATTTCAGAAAGTCCTAGGACAATGTTGAAAATTTGTAAAACGGAATAGATATAATTGCAGAAAACAATGGAAACACTCTACGTTGTTCTATTTTGACCACTATGTTGTTATATTTACATATAAATACCTTGTGTTGTCAAAACTTTTTAAAGTTTTGAAATCTTCAATAGAAGTTAGGAAAATGAGAAATAAGGCTTTAAGACTTTTTATTATTACAATTTGTTTAAAAATTTACGATGATATTTTGTTATTAGGGTTATTCCATAAATGATAATTTTGACATCTCGTCACTAAAAGTAAGACATAAGGGGTCGTTCATAAATAACGTACGCTTTTATTTCGACCCTCTCATATACCCATCCTGCATTTTGATGCACGCTTATTTGAGTAACGTCTACCTCCTGAAAGTACCTGTGCCTTTAGCCTACCTACCCAACATTTTATGATATTTTTTTTAATATAGCCTTCTTACTTTTATAATTGACCACCTGACCATTTTATGGACGATCCCTAAAGCATAAGAAAAGTAAGACCGCCTCACTCAAACAGTTAAAGCAATCGTTTGTGTCAAAGTTAGAGACAAAAAATTGATTTCTTTATTTCAAATATTTTCTTATTAGCTAGCTAATTGATTACAGTAAAGTAACTACAGTGGAGCTAGTTGCTCAACTGTAGTTACTTTACGTATGCCATAGGTGAAAAGTAAGAAATTCTTCTAAATTGTTTAATTTTATTTTATCAATACACTGATTGAGATTAGTAAGTAAATTATTCAAACTCTTATTAACCAATAAACCTTTATTATATTTATTGAGTTCCTTTGTTTCCACCTTTTTAAACATTTTTTTAATATTTATTGACTTCCTTTTTCAAAGTATGCGTTAAAAATATAGAAAAATACAAGTTACTTACCAAAAAAGTTTGAAAGTATTTCATAAAATCATAAAATACTTTTTGCATTACATAAAGATAATGCTAATATACCATATATCTTACACATAACTAATAATAAGATAGAAGTAAGCTATTAATATAAAAGATTTTATAAAATTAAAAAAAACTTCCTGCTAAGGTAAGAGTAGCTATACATCATCAAGACGATTAGACAATAATAATAAACCAAAAGGTACATTAAATAGTTACTATATATGTTTAAGTAATAATAAAATTAAAAAAAAACTTTAAACTTTTTACAAAAAACAAATGAAGTGAAACAAAGAATTTATTTAATTAGTAACAAATTTTGGTTTAGGGTCTGCTATAAGCATTGGTTTTAAATTACAGAGTACACCACACATTAATAAAATGTCATCTGCATGTTGTAGCATGCTGATTGACAGACTTCCATTTAGAATTCTGTACATTTTAATATGGTTAACAGCTCGCTCTACATGTATTCTTAAATTTGCAACATGTTTAGTTTTTTGAACTTCTTTAGTGGTTAATTGACTTTTCAAGCGGGCACCAGGTGGCACAACCAAAGTACAAAAATTTAAAATCAAATCTTCATGTATTTAAAAACCTCGGTCAGCCATCATCTTGCTCTAGTAGATCATATAAACCACTGTCTTTTGTTATAAACTTGTCACTTGCTTTTCCTCCATAACATAAAAAAAGAAATTTAATATACCCAGTTAGACTAACACCTATCAAGAACTTAAATATATTATAATGTTTATAGTCTGACCAGGTAGTTGATTGTTTATCAAGGGACTTTGAACGTTCTATAAACACTTCTGCACAATCAAGAATTACTCTGCATTTTTGATAACCAGCTTTCACAAAATCAGGTGGCAGATTGTTACGAATAGATTCTCGTGGAAGCCATACAACTAATGCTTTTCCTAAAACTTGACTTAACATTTTAATCCAAGTTGTAAATGTATGTTAACACAATGCTGGGGATATGCCAAAACTAAGTCTTGCTAAGTCTTGATTAAGAAGTCCTAATCTTAATCGCATTAAAACAAGTAAAAACTCATCTCTTTGTGATAGCTTTTTTGATTTTTTCAATGAAGCATGTTTTTTCTTATTTTTAGAATTAGTAAACTTTTTAGGACCAGACCAATAAACTAAATTTGTCAAATATGGTTTGATTAGTAAAAATAAACTCTCAAACAATTTGATTGTGGATAAACCAGTGTAAAAGTTAATTTTAGCATCAGTTTTAATTTTCCTCCATGTAAATACTGAACTTTTAACACTATCAAATAACTTTTGACGCTTTAATTTTTGACACAATAATGTTAATATGTTTACTTTACTGATTGATGATTTAATTAAATTGCTCTTATCGACACATACTTTGCAAATTTTTCTTGATTGTATTGAGCAATACGAATGATCAGATACTGATACATTAGCCATGGGTAAATTATTTTCTTTATCTAAATCTGTTGAAATATTATTAGAATGACTTGTTCAGTAGTAACTGCAGTTTGGTCAAGTTTCTGCTTTTTTAATGGTATAGAGTGTTTGATTAGGTTTCTTCTAGATTTTTTAGCTTCTATTTCATATGCAAGACATAAAGTAGGCATAGGGTTTGCAATTGAAGGAGTTCCATCAACAAAATATATGGAGCATACCCTATCACAATCTCTTGGCTCCCATAATGTCTTATTTATAGATTCTCTTCTTAAAGCTTTAATCCATAACTGCCTTTCTTTCTTTATTTTTTTCACTGCTGGAAATTTATATAATAAAAATGGCCTTTCACATAAAGAGCATTTCTCTCTGCCTAAATTTTGTTCATGTTTATGTTGCATACTTCTTTTTTCCATTTATTCAGTCTATATGTACTATTTGTACAACCTATTACGGCACAATTAACTTTAAGCATCTTTATATAACTTTTTCTTTTTTATAGTGTACTTTACAATTGATTAAATTTTATTTGAAAGCTTTTCATAGATGTTTATGCTTCGTTTTCTCAAGTTAAATAGCTGATTTAAATTGTTGTCTCTATTTTTACCCCTCCAGTAGGGTCTCGGATTCCCAAACCTTAGAATTTCATAATGGCGCATTACAAAGCTCAATCAGTGTATTTACATCAATGTAAACTTGAACATAATGATTTGCATTAAATTTATTTTTTTAATCTTGATTGAAGAAAAATTATTTTCATACATAGAAGTAACAACAATTACATGTAGGAGTAAACAACAATTCTTTTTGTTATTTAAAATAATAATCAACAACAATGAACAATACTTTGCTATTGAAATAATTTTTTTAAAGAAACTTTGAATTTGCATCACCTTCATGTCTCCATTTAATATGGAAGCAACATCACGAGAACTGATAAATTCTTTGTAGATTGCTTTCTGTTCTTCCGTCAATTTGCAAAACAAAATCTAAATTTTAGTACAATACATTAATTAATGTTTTCATTGACTATTTAACATCTTTTAAACCATTCCTTAAAATTTTAAATTGTAAAACTAGCAAATGTTGTTTAACATTTTTTTTTTTTGGATTTCTAATAAGCTTTACAATCCTCTGATAACCGAAATGTAACCGAAACATTTATTTAACATATGAATGGATTTTGATTCAGTTTATATTTTTTATATTATGTCTATGATATAATTTTTATTAAAAATAATGTTAATAACAAGAAGCAGTTAATACAATTTTTGAATTTATAAAAACGATGCAAATAATGTTAACATTTTAGAATTAGTTAAAATAAATTAAAAAAAAAACAAACTACTGCAACCTGTTCGCTTTTAGTAGGTAGAAAAAGTGTTTGTTGAACATCTTTTTTCATTCTTCTTATCATATAAGGAGTAATTGTATCCTTGAGTATGCAACAGCATTTATAAGCTGCTTGAACCTAAAGAAAATATCTATTATACATATAAAAAATCTGCTGTACACTTAAAAAAAATTTGCAACTAAATGGGGAAAAAAAAAATATGGTTGGGATTACTACAATTACAAATTTTACATTATATTTTTTTATTAATATAAAAAAACAGTTCACTAAGTTATTACAGAGTAATCTTCATAAAACAACAACTAAGCATAAAAGTGTCTGCACTCGTGCACCCCAGAAGTATATGCACCAATGCACCACAAAACCAAAGAAACCCAAAGAAAATACATATAAGTAAAAAAATTCAAGTCTGCATTTTAAACTATTTATATAAAAAAGGTATTTGATGCATAAATGTTTGCAAATTCATATTGATTTATCTTATATGCTGTATATATAAATCAAAACATTTGATTAAAGGATTGAAAAGGAGTGAAACAAGTTTCACTCCTTTAATCAAAGGAATAAAGTTTAAAAAGATATTAGAGTACTATACTATGCATTTATTATTTAGTTTAGTTTCTTTTTTTATTTTTCCAAATTGAAAGAAACTTCTAAAAACTCATAAAGTTTTTGAGGTGCACATGAGTTTATAGAACACTTCATTGTCAGTACATAAAAGTTTTCTTCAAAATAAGTTAGCAATAATACAATCGTCCTAAGAGCTGACTATCTTCTAAAATGTTAAAATCTCAACAACAACAACAACAACAACAACAACAACAACAACAACAACAACAAACCCCATACCTAACCAAAACATTTTATCTGTCCCTAAAAAGGTGCAGCCACCTGTATAGAAGTTAATTTTAATAATAGTTTAAAAAACGAAATTGTTCATAGTTATAATTATTTACAATTAAAATATTGCATAATATGATAAAAAATAAAAATATTAAACTTATAGAATCATTTATAAAATTAAAGATCATAGGGAATATGCTTAAAATACCTGAACCTAAAACAGATATAAAACATCTTTATGCTAACCATACTCACAGTGAATGTATTTAATTTGTGACTTTTTAACTCCAAAACAAGAGCCTTAAAAAGCAAGACTTAAAGAACAAGCAGAGAGTTGAGAGCAGTACTACTAGGGACATAGTGAGGATCCAGAACTTCTTGCTTGTGTATAAAGCATTCAAAAAAATATAATGAAAAATATAATTAAATGTTTAACATGCTAAAATTTAAAATAAAATAATAACAAAATTTTGCTAAAAAATTGCTACTTTTTTTAAATATGGATGACGATATGGAAAAGTTAAGCAATATTTTACAACCAGATGCATTTTCACCACTACTTACTCTATACTTTGGGACACCACTACAAGATCTCGGGTTTACATGCTCCTATCTCACAATTAAATATGGGGTTTAATTTCGGTATTTAGTTGTTTTTTTGTTTTTTTTTGTAAAAAATTATAGTTCAAATAAATAACTATGATTAAACAAAAAATTGTTCTAGGAACTAGAGTAAAACTGAAGAATTGTCACAAAGAAATCTATGTAAAACTATGTTATAATTAATCACATAATTTTTATTATTTTTCTAAGCATAACATATTGTGTTATAATTACATTGCACTATTTTTAGTGTCCTTTTGTAGAAGTTTTTTGTGTTCAAGATTACAGCCTTTTGTTTTTTCACTTTTTTAAAAAATTATTTTTAAATATTCTACATTACCTGATGAAGTGAATAATCAACTGATGAATTGAATAATTATGTAGAATAAAAAAATTAAGATTTTATGAAATAATGCCATACTTTAGTAAGCTAAAGTTTTTTTTACTTCATTATTCATATTACTTTAACGTTTATTACAACTAGCATCAACATTTATCTTTAGCATTATTATTATAGATTTTATGATTTTAAAAATTCGAAATTTTTTTCAGATTTAACCTCTATTGTTCCACACTTGTGTAGTGAGGACAAGTTTTCATAATGTCATATATTTAAATGTGACATAATAGAAAAGCTAACTTTTTAATATAAGATCTTGAAAAAGATTTATACTTACAATTTCTAGAAACAAGTTGCGCTAATAAAACTTAAAAACCAAATAAAATAAAAGCCAGAAAAGATATATATATAAATGTATATAAATGTATATAAATATATATATAAATGTATATAAATGTATATAAATATATATAAATATAAATAAATGTATATAAATTCATTTTTCTGGCTGTACTCAAGAAAATCAAAGGCATATATATATATATATATTATATATATATATATATATATATATATATATATATATATATATACATATATATATATATATACATATATATATATATATATATATATATATATATATATATATATATATATATATATATATATATATATATATATATATATAAAAAGAATTATTAATTTGTTGACAATCCTTTTGCTTTTAGGCATTCACTAATATGTTTTAGCATGGAGTTCACTAAATTCTAAGTAATGTCTTTTGGAACACTATTCAGTAATTTTGTTACTTATTCATTCAGCTGGTCCAGATCTTTTATTTCGATTTTACCAAGATTGTGGTTTAACCCAGACCATAAATTCTATGTAATTGAGGCTAGACTATTGGCAGGCCAAGACATGATTTTAATGTTGTTTTCTTCAAACAATTGCTTGCAAATCTTAGCAGTATGGAGCATTACCTCGGAAGATTTCCATGTCTTTTGGGAAAATTTTTAATTATTCAATATGTCTAAATATCTTTGAGATTCGAGCCTTGTATCAAATATTTTGAAACAACCGACACCTTCATAGTTCATGCAGGCCCAGATGCCTACACTACCACTACTGTGTTTTGTTCTATACGTAGAACAATTTGGGTTCATTTTTTAATCTGTTTTTCTTCTCAACATTACTTTATTTTTTTCTTAGATCAAACTCCACATTTATTTTAACTCTGAAAAAAACGTTGTGCCACATGTTCATTAACCATATTTTATAAGCTAAAAACCTTTATTTTTCTTGTTTTCTGATGTTTAATAAATAGATGTGGTTTTTCACAAGCAGCTTGCTACATGTAATTTTGTTTATGTACTCTTCTAATTGTTAGAGCACTGCACCAAAAGCTTTTTGTCCTTTTCAACTGAGATCAGTGGATGACAAACTTCTATTTTTTTTTTTTTTTTTATATTATGCGAATAAGTGAATATTGATTTCTTTTATTTGAAATGCTGGATATTCTAGGGCATGGAAGATTTTGAATTGTATTTTATCTTTAATATTGGATGATTATTCTACTAAAAGTGGCATGTGTTGTGTTAAAATGTTTTGCAGTTTCTTTCATCAAGATGTTTTCTTCATTCATTACTAAGGTTTTACATTTAGTTTTATTATCAATATTTTTTCCTGTCAACTTGATTGTTTTATTGCTGAAATATTGTAGTTAATTAGATACTCATTTTTCTATTACATTTTATGGAAATTTTTTCAAATATTTATAACAATTTAAATAAAAATTCTCAAATAATTATAAAATATTATAAATATCACACAGTTTTTGACATTTTTTGACCTTCCCCACCATTGTAACCCATTCGTAACACTTTATTGACACACACACCCTCCCCCAAATATTAGGCAAAAAGTTGTATAAAGTTGTATAAATTAACATCGCATTCCTAAACATGATAACAATTTTAAAATCTATTCTTCTAATATATATTACATGCAAAATATTAAATATATAATATATAATAAATAATAACATATTATACATTAAAAAATATTACTTTATGAATAAAATTTTCTTAGAAACAGAACCATAAGCGTGGCCAAGTGGATTCTGCCTTTGGCTAGTAAACGGAGGGTTCCAGGTTCGTTTCTCGTTTTTCTTTTTTTTTTAGTTAGTGCACAAATATTGTTTTTTTGTTGCTGCACACTTTTGAGTCATATAAATTCAAAGCGCAGAGCGTGCACTGCACATAATGCCGTAACAGTCCGTTAACAGGCTGTAACTACTCGGAGTTAATGGAGTGTACATCGACTAAGTTAGATTTAGGCGTAGTTGATTTTACAATTAACATGTAGATACATCAACTGAGGGTTTTGGTTTAGTCAGATACACTTTTAATTAAAAGAAAGTCTTAAAAAAGTCTCTTAAAAAAAAAATATTCCGTCACAAAATTGAGACCCCCTCCTCTCCCTTGTAAAAAAAACTGTTGAAAAATTGCCTCCCCTTCCTCCCCTTCTCCTTAGCATGATGTAGTTTATGGACAACCCCTAAGACAAACAAAATTTTGAAGGAAGTTTGAATTACTAGAGTGGATTGTTAATTTTTGCCTTGACAATTTTTATAGATGATGAGGTATATGTCAAAAAAAGTATTATAATTAGCACATCAAATAACATTTTTATGAATATCTATATTCATTTAAAAGAAAATAGAATACTCACCAACATACACATTTTAGATTTAAGAAGAGTCAAACAATCATTGATTTAATATCAATCAAAGCCCAATGATATCAAAAAAAAATCATGATGGATTGTTATTAATGGCCAATAATGTATATACATATGTATGTATATATATCGAATGTATAAATATGCCATATATATATATATATATATATATATATGTATGTATATATATTGAATATATATATATATATGTATGTATATATATTGAATATATATATATATATATATATATATATATATATATATATATATATATATATATATATATATATATATATATATATATATATATATATATATATATATATATATATATGTATATATATATGTATATATATATCAAATGTATAAATATGCCATATATATATATATATATATATATATATATATATATATATATATATATATATATATATATATATATATATATATATATATATATATGGCATATTACACATTTGATATATATATACATACATATGCATATATACATTGATGGCCATGAATAACAATGAAGCATGTATATATATATAGGGCTGTACCGGATTTCGGCTCCGGCTCCTGCTCCGGCCATTTTTACAAATCCGGCCCAAATCCGGCTCTGGCAAAAATTTAGCAAATCTGGCATAATTTTAGCCGGAGTTTTGAATTTTGTCAAATATTTATTACATTTTTTTTGCCCATGTTTACATGTATACCTAATATTTTATTTATAAAAATCAATTTTTTTTGTAATTCTATATTTTATGAACCTCATATTTGTTTTGGTATTTGTATTTATATTTCTTTATAATTTAATAAGCTAAGTCTAATTTAAAACAACAACGCAACAAAAAATTCTGAAGGAAAGACACACGATATTCTAGAATGATGCAGGTATAAAGACTATGATGTCAACCCTAATCAAGTGATTGGATGAGCGTTTTAAAAGCATTGAAAAGAGAAACCTCTTTATATACTGACGAGGCTGGTTGACTCACAATTTAAAACTAAATTCTCCTCATTACAGGCAACACTGACAGCTGAAAAAACAAGATTGAAGTCAATCTGAGCATGCTGAACAGAAGATTGACAAAACTGAAGAATATCCACCAAAATAAGCCGGGCTTAATAATTTTTCTACATCATCATCATCATTACTCTGGCAATTTATTGATAAAATTATTCAGTCTACGTCCGCTGGTGGCAGGGCACATAAACAACAATTACTAAAAGGCATTGAAACTCAGCTAAGGAAATATCCGAAAGAACCAGAAATAAATAGACACAATGATCCAATGGCGGAGTGACAAAATCCCGGAAAAAAAGTTCAATAGAATTACTATAAACTTTTAAAACATATGGCCTATAGAATTTCTTTAGAATTTCTATTAATTTATATATAGAAATTGCTATAAAACTTTTTAAATAACAACAATGAAGTTTAACAGAAAACAGCAGTCACTTGGTATTCTGAATAGTCCACATTGTTAACCATGCTCAACACCAATTAGGGATGTACAGGATTTTGGCTCCTGTAGTTTTGTTTTGAAATCCGGCTCCGGCTCCGATTCCGGCCGGATCTGTCAGTAGAAATCCGGCAAATCCGGCTCCGGCCGGATTTGAAAAAATTAAATCCGGTACAGCCCTAATATATATATATATATATATATATATATATATATATATATATATATATATATATATATATATATATATATATATATATATACACATATATATACACACATGTATAAATATATATATATATATATATATATACACATATATATACACACATGTATAAATATATATATATATATATATATATATATATATATATATATATATATATATATATACAAATGAAAATTAATTATTTTCAAGCATAAACCATTCATACCTGTAAAGATGAAGCATTTGCATATCCACCCATTGTTATAGGAATAGAAAATTCAGCCATAAACACTGGAAGTGTTCCAAGTCTGCCAGGGTACACAAAATCAAATAAGGACCATAATTCTTTTAAACTATTTTGCATTGGTGTACCCGTCAAAATAAGTCTATGCGATGTATTGAACTAAAACAAAGAAAGATAATATATTTATAAATAATAAAGAATAAAATTTATTCTTTAATGATGCCCCTCTTCCTTTTAATAGTGGGGAAGTGACAGGTGCACTGTACTCTAATTCATAATGCTTCTTCAGATTCACTAGTGGATACAACTTTCGTTCCTCATGTTTTCTTGACTAATGTAATTTATAGCTTTCTTGCTATAACTCTTTTTTTTACTTTTAAATATTTCCTAACTTAAACAGTAGCTACTTCCAGCATTGTTTGAGGCTTTTTTAAAACAGCTACTTCCAGCCTTGTTGGTGGTAAATTTGTTAAAAAAATAAATTGCAAGATTAGGACTGTTTGTGTTTACCATAATATTAAGTTACCTTTTTTAATTATGTATAATTAAAGTTGAGTCTGGCCAATGCAGCCAATGATCCTTTACTTTTGACTATCAAACTACTTTTGACCTGCATCAAGTCAAAAGGTTTTAACACAAAAGTTTCACCACTACAACATAGAAACAAAGTTGAAAAAAAAATTGTTGAGCTCACACACTTTTAGGTCAGCAGTTAGGTCAACATTACTAAATGCCCTTATGACCCTTACTACCTCAATGACCCTAATTATGAGGATTGCCAATGTGATGTGACTAGCTCCTGTATTTCTGTAAGAACACTGTAAGTGTTCTTCTATCATTTTTATATATTTTAAACAGTTAAAAAGTAAACAACTGTGATCAAAACAGAAAGTAACCAGTCTTGTCAAAATAGTGAAAAAAAAAAAAAAAAAAGAATATAAAATTTGAACACTAAAGTATTTAATAATCTATTAAAATAAACAAATACTTCCTACTTGCTTACAAGCTAGGGTAATTAATGCATCGGGGTTTCGAATTTTGTGACCTTCATCAAGAATCACATACTGCCAGTTATGTTTATAAAGTTCTTTTTTGTGATTCAGTACACTATTATAAGTTGTAATTAAGATACCAGGATGTTTACTTATTGCTCTTATCAATGTCAACTATAAGAAATAAATACATATACATACATACATTTACAAATTCTACATATATTTACAAATTCTACATACATACATTTACATACATACATATACATACATACATTTACATATACATTACAAATACATATACATACATACATTTACAAATTCTTTTATAAAACTAGCAACAGATAGTTTAAAATTAAAAAAGAAAGAATAATTTAAAATAGAAATATTAAAAAACTTAGTAAGAAAAAATTACTAACATAAAAAATAGAAGTACTCACTTTTTAGAATAAAAAGAAAAACCTACTGGGCTTCCTATAAAAGTTCCAGAACTATGTAGAATTGCAACACGAAAATGAGGCCACCACATGTGGAACTCTGACACCCATTGGAACATTACTGTTGCAGGACAGACAATCAAAACAGATCCCAGACCAAACTTGCTAAAATATTTAAAAAAAAGAAAAAGTATTATATAATAAATGCTGCTTATATTTAGAGATTTTATGCTAAAATCATTTTTATTTCAACTTTTTGCATTGCTTATTCCAACACATTTACACAAAATAGAAACAGCTATAAATTATTTTTCATTTTTTAATAACAAGTTGTGCTGATATTTTTAAATATTTAAACTATTATTTATTATTTTATTTGTGTTTTTTTTTTTAATTGTATCTTTTATTTAGAGATTAATGTGGATTATTAGAATGGTAACACATTTTTTGCATTCAAAGTTGGTAAAGAAAAATCAAATTAAAATGTGTATGTTAAAAATGATATCAAATAAGAATATAACTGTAATTCGAACACAGGAACAAAAATATTTATAAAAATGCTCCTTTAACTCTGGATAAAGCAACTAGGCTTTAAATAAAAAACAATTCACTGTTAAATTTTATGAAAATTCAGAAACAAATTTCAAAATCTAATTACAAACTCAAAAGAAACACAAAATAAATTTTAAAACCAGAGATGCAGAGTCTTAAAAGAACTCCAGCTTTAAACCTCTAAACCTGCAGCTTTAAACCTCTAAACCTGGTCTCTGGTGCACAGGAGCAGTAAAAATTTTGACTTATGATCTGCAATAAGAAAAAAATTCATGAGATTTAATGACTTGGAAAGTGTTTTTTTTTAGCATGGAATCCTAAATTGTTTCTTTAACCTAAATTTTTCCCCCAAAAATAGTTCAGAAGATTTATTACTTTATTACATTTTTGGAAATCTTAGATACCAAAAAAACAGGAAGAAATTCTGTGACTTTCAAATCCAGAATCCTTTTTAGGACCCTAATCTCTGTTTAAAACCACCTTATTTTTAGGATGTTTTATAGTTTTATGAAATATCTTTAAAAATGAAAAACATCTTTTAATTAGTATATTCAATCAGCAAATCATCATTTAACAATAATTAAACTATTTTTGAATTACTGATTTATTTGAGCAAAACCTTCTTTGCAGTTAATAAGTTGGGTTTTGATATTTTTGAATTTTTCGAACATGACAACTTTTTTGAACTTGCAATTTACAAATTAATTGTAGATCCAAATAACATTTTCTGTTTAAAAATTTCAAACATATAATAAAAATTCAAAACTTTTAATAAAAATCTTTATGTAATACTCATTTAATGAAAAAATTTCACTATTTTCAAATAATTCGAAATTAGCAATTGCCAAAAATTTAAATCCTTTAATTTACAATAACTGAACCTGTCTCAAATAAATACTGATTTTAATGGCAAATAACCCAATAAAATTTTTGTTTTAAACTTTTAAACTAGTTTAAATCTAGGATATCATCATCAATGTTCTTATTTTTACAGTTTTTGACAGTTTTTTGAGAGCATAATGTCATTCACAAAGCAGTTTTTTAATTGATTGATAAAAGAGGATTCTAAATAAATTCATTGATTGATAAAAAAGGATTCTTAATAAATTCATTAAACAGTTTCTTTATTGATTGGTCAAAATGATTCTAAACAAATTAATCCTATATTAAAAATGTAAAATCTTTTATTTAGTAAACAAAAACCAACAAAAAAATTCTTAAAAAACATTTGCAGAAAAAAATACTATAGCTAAAAACCATTCAACCTTTTCAAACATTACATCATGTTTTAGTTTATAAACTTTATATGGGTCACATTAATTCGATTGTTTGGGTTCTTGAGGTGTAAGGAATATTTTTTCATGACAAAAACATTTAAATAAATGTAACTTTATATTTTTGTCACGAAAAATATTCCATAGGTTTGTGTGATAGAATTATCAAAATAATATGGAATCCAGTTAAATTTTTGAATGATTTTATATGGGATTACTAAAAAGTTAAAATATAAAGTTAAAAAAAAACATGTTCACAAGACATAAAAAAAACTTGCAAGAAAATAAAAAAAAGCATACACACTTATTATTTATATTATTGCCTTTTTTAGAATAAACAAGACCAGCAAGGAATGATATCACTTGAATAGTTTTCCCAAGTCCCATTTCATCTCCAACAATACCTCCAACCTCTTGTGCATGCAACTGCCATAACCATCTAACTCCAACTCTCTGGTACCTAAAAATATAAGACATTAAAATTAAAATGTATATTATATTATTAATAACAATATTAAAACAGTAATTTATTTAAATACAATTAAAGATCCAAGATAATTCATTGGTGTATTTAAATTCATAGATAATCAATTTAATAAAATAATTTCTATTTTTTATAAATTTAGATAAGACTTGAACTGATATTGACACATCCATTTGAAATAAACCATTATAGAAGTAATGATGTAATGAAAAATTAGAAAAAATTGTGGTTTAACTAGACTAAACAATAAAGTTTCACATCTGAAAATAACAAAAAACAGCTTGACTAAACAATAAATGAAGTTGTAATCACATCTGAAAATAACAAAAAGCGTGCAGCTGAACAATGACTTAACAATAACTGATAACAACAAATAAGAAAAAAAAATTCATTAAATAGTGTTGAACACTTTTAAAATGCTCAAAATTTTCAAACATAAACAACTCTAGTTGAAAGGGGGAAACTGTAATGATAAAAAACCCATTTAAATGTGTTACTAAGTAAAAAAAAATCACCCTTGTTTAGTTCTATGCAACTGCAGAAGCTTTAAAATATTGCAATTTTGGCAGTATAAGGGTTTATAAAACTTGTCAAAATATCACTACATAGATTCATTTACTTGTAAAGTTTATTCCAAAGTTTTCTGGGTAATAAAAACCCATCTTCGATTTCTGCATCATCATTAACATCATCATCTTCAGAAAAATCAAAGTTGTTACAGTCTTCTATTACTTCTCCAGCTTTTATGGCTTCCTTTAACCTGCTTTTTATTTTTAATTTTCTAAATAAAAATAAATAAAAATCAATAATAAAAAAATATCTAACAAAGAGTGGTGTTTTCAAAGAGATAAAAAATTAATATAATAAAGTAACAATCAAACATTAAATATAGAAATCATAAGAATTTCTAAAAAAATTGTAAAAACTTCTATAGCTCATGTTTCCAAAATTTACAAAAAATAATTGAAACTTCTTGTCTTGAAATACTTTTCCTTTTTATTTAAACATGGCAAACTAGATACGTTTTGATTTAGATAAGAAAAATTAAATTTAACAAATAATTTGCTACATAAATAATTTGAAGTGGAAAGAATTTTCAACAATTCAACAATTTAAGATAGAATTTATAAAATCATGTTTTTAAATTTTTTGTGAAGCATCTTGGTTCTGTGTTTTTGTAAACACAATAAAAAAATGTTAAATGCTCATGTTAATATTTACTCAAACAAAATTCTTTAAAAACTATTTAGTTAATTTTTTTACACTTAATGTCTTTGATACTATTGTTGATTGGATATATATATATATATATATATATATATATATATATATATATATATATATATATATATATATATATATATATATATCTTCTTTTTAACTAGATAAAATACTTTATGCATTTTATGAATTATGCATTTTCATTGGCTTGTACAAGATAACTTCTTCCTTGAAGAAATTTTTTAGGTTTAAAACTAACTTAATTTCTGTATAAAACTTTACAAAGTTTTAAAGAAAAGTGTGAAAAAGATTTTTAAAATATTTTTCAGAGATTTTCTTGATTTAAAGCTACTTAATCATTAAAGAAAAAAAGAAAAAAAAATTTTACAAAAAAAATAAAAATAAAAAAGTTGGCATACTTTATTCTCTCTTTATATGTATTAAAATCTCCATCATCTTTGACACATGTAGTCTTTTTCACTGAATCACAACACTTTTTTTTTGTGTTTGGTTTATTTAAAGATAATGACTTTACTTCATCAAAATCATCAATAGATTCATCACTAGATTCATCATCAAATAGAACAAATTCATCATCTGATGATCTTTTCCTTTTTATTTTCCCTTTCTCTAAATTTTTCTGCATATATTCTATTTGATGAATATCATTTTTCTCAAAGGAATCTTCTTGATCATCATTGGAGAAGTTTCTCATTAGAAGTAGAGAATCTTTTTTATTCTCATTAGAAATGTTTTTTTTCAAAGCATCAAATGGAGTTATTTGACCAAGTTCAACTTCTTTTAACATTTTGATAGAGAATAAAGAACTTCCAATAGTGGAGCTTGTGTTAATACTCATATCTAAAAATATATTAAACTAAAAATAAACACATAACAAAAGAGTGTTACATAAAATATTTTGTTAAAACAAATTGTATATAAATAAACCAACTATAATATATAAATAATATATTATATTGTACAAATAAATAAACCTGTTGATTCTTTAGGTTTTATTAGTTTTTCATACTCTTCCTCAGCAGCAACACATTGATTTTTTAGTTGCTTCAAGTATTGTTCCTAATAATAAAAATAAAATTTATAATGTGAACATATATATGTATATGGATATATATGTTTATATATATGTAAATATACGTATATATATATATATATATATATATATATATATATATATATATATATATATATATATATATATATATATATATATAGGGGAAAGTGGGGCAACATTGCGAATGTTTTGAAAGCCCTGAGTTATTGCAAAACTATCAGTCGTGAACCAATAATACTTTCTCAGTATGTTTATGTTAATAAAATAATTCATTGCCTACATGAATTTTTAGTTTGCAAATATAACAATTTGAAATAAATATTAAAATAAAAAGTTCATAAATTTGTCATCTGGTCACTAACTAAAGTAACACAAAATAAACACAAGTCGCAAAAAACTACTTCTAAAGAAGATAAACTTGAAGGACACCATCCATTATGAGAAACCGAAACAGGAATTTTTTTAAGCGCAAAAAGTAAACTTATGCGTATAAAAATGTGTTAATAATATTTAAAATACAAGATGCAAATACAGTTTCGTTTTCATACAAATTTAAGATTTTTTGTTGAGTTGCTATATGAAAACCCATCTTGCCCCATTGGCTATACAGGGCTTGAAATAGCTGCCGGACATCGGACATTGTCAGACACTGATCCGGTAAAAATCATCATAAATCGGTCATTTTGTCAGACTAATATTTTTTGTAAATTTTTCTTATAATCATTTTAGTTATTTAAAAGTTATTGAAATGTTAAGTATATTATATATAAACTTTCTTTTTTATTTTATTTTTACATTGTGAAGAAGTTCGTCATTCTTTGAGATGATTCAGAAAATGTGGAAACAATATTATGTCACAAGAATTTTATTTAGTGAGCAATGCTTTTATTTCTTATCTTATTCAACTTTGTGAACGGAACTTTTTAATTTATAAATTTAACAATAAGTATATTAATAAAATATTTGTAATGATAATGTCTTGTCATTATTCCAACCTAGGGCATGATATTAAAAAAAAAGGAAGCAGTTTGCTCAGTTTGTCGTGAAAGAAATACAAAGTATAAGTGCATGAGATGCGCTGTTTTTGTTTGCAATATTTTTGCAACTCCGGGAAAAACTGGCGACTTATCTTATGGTGAAGAAATTAAGAGATTTGCCTTATGTTTAAAGTGTTCAACATTTGAGCCACCAAAAAAAAAATTCAAAAAACTATATTTTCTTTGTTTAAACCACTTTTAGTCGCCTGCAGTCAAGTCCATATACAAAAAAAATGCCAAAGAAGAAACAAGTAAGATTACGGCAAATCCTCATAAAGTATCAGTATCGGTAGTAGAAACTTGGAAGTCGGAGCTCGCTGAGTATTCACTTAGCGAATGGCTATTTTATGACATTGATTCAAATGAAAAACTAAAAAACTTAAAATGCAAGTTTTGTACAAAGTTTAATGATACAATAAAAACTATGCCATACTATACAAATACATTCATAGTTGGATCAGCAAACGATAGAAAATCAAATATTCTTGATCATTGTAAGTCTCAACTGCACTTAAAAGCATACACTCTTTTTCTTAAAAAATCTAATAATTTTCTAAATGCATCTAAACCTTCATTGCCCTGTAAAAATAATGCAACAATCACTGATGGTTCGAAAAAAATGGAAAAAAAATGACCTTGAAAAAACCCTTAAACAATTTCAACTTTCTTACTTTATAGCGAAACAACAATCACCTCTTTCAAAGTTTGTTCCAACTGTTAAACTAGTTGAGCTTTTCGGTGTGAATATGGGCGAATCCTATATTTCAGATCGCCAATGCATTGTATTTATTGACTATATTGCAGGAAGTCTGCAAAATTCGTTACACGATAGCCTTAGAAATGCTAAATTTTATAGTGTATTGTGTGATGGTTCAACAGACAGTTTGGTAATTGAAAATTAAGTGGTGTATGCATTATATTTTGATATAAGCCAGTTGGTTCGGATGCGGTTGAAATTAGGACTGTTTTTAGACATAAAACATTTGGAATATGGAAATGCCCTAGGTGTTGTAAAGGTTTTAGAAGAATGATTTGTAAATTTGCTAACACCTATTAAACGCATTGGTTTTACTTCAGATGGGGCTGCACTAAATAGAGGCAATCAAAATAGTGTGAAAATCATTCTACGCGAAAGAAATCTGTGGCTTGTGTTTGGTGTGTTGCACACCGTTTAGAATTAGCAATTGCAGATGCTTTAAAAGATACAGAATTTGATCTTGTAGATGAAATTATATTATGAAGTTATTGTCTGTACCAAAAATCACCAAAAAAGTTCCGACAGCTTCGCGAGTTATATTATATAACTCATGAAGCTGTCGGAGCTTTTTTGGTGCTTTTTGGTATAACTTATATACTATTTTAAAAGACAGGATGGATATGCTTGATGAAAGTTGCAAGCCTAAAAAAGAATCTGGAACATGATGGATTTCTTATAAAGTTAATGCCATGAAGTCTTTCCTTGACAGATGGGATTTATACACAACCCATCTTGAACAATTAGCTGAAGGTCCATCGATTTTAGCTCCTGACAAAGCTAAAATGAAAGGTATCTCCTAAAATGGAAAAAAGGAAAATACTACTTCTATTTGCATTTTTCATTGATTTACTCGAGATTCCCTCAATTCTTTCAAAGTCAGGATGATTAAGTTGATTAAGTTCAAGTAATGAAGTGTCTTACAAAAGCAAAGGAAAGATGAGAATTATTTGAGAAAAAAAGTCTTGAAAATTTGCCTAGAGTTAAAGATTTTCTTTCACAAATCAAAAAAACAAACGACAAACATTATTATCATGACATTGAACTTAAAGACTTTGAGCGTGAGTTTAAAATTTTCAAAACAAAAACTGTGGAGTATTTAACAGTAGCCAGGGACTGCATTATACAACGTGTAAAAACGAAAAATGAAAAAGAAAGTTCTTTTAATTTAAAGTATGCATTCCAAGTATTAAATTAAAACGGTTGGCTTCGGGAGGTTATAGCTGAAAGCGGAATCATAACACGAAATTTAGATTTTGCCAATGAAGCTTTAAAATATATATGGAAACACTTTCAAGAGCCGTTATGCTTTGCTGCTGTTGTTTTTCCAGACATCTTAACTTAATGGAAAGAAATGCTAAGTTATGCTCAAGAGTTTTTATCCTCAGTTAAAACGCAATACCAAATTACATGGCGACGTATATTTGTATCACCTCGAGGTAAATCATGGACCTCTATTTTAACAGTTGTTCAGCTATTGTTTACTTTGCCAATTTCTAACACTAAACTGGAAAGAATGTTTTCAAAGATGAAAAGTGTCAAATCAAATTATCGAACCTCATTGATAGAATCTTGTGTTTCAAATATTTTGCACATTTTGGAAGATGGCCCATTGCTGAATAAATTCAATTTTCTTCCTGCAATTGAATTGTGGTGGAGTGATAAGGGAAGATGCCCAAACCAAAAACCAACAGGAATTTATAAAGATTGGGTACACAAAAAAAGAACAATTACTTCCCTTAGCGACAGTGAAAAAGATAGATTATTGTATGAAATTTAAAGTTTATTAATGAATACTAATTTAGTTAGGAATAGTCTGTATGTTAGTAAGATTGTCTAACATCGAAAAATGCTGGATCATGAAAATATAATGACAAAAACTTTACGCTAAAATTAAAAATTGTATAACTTTTTGAATTATATGAAGTTGAAAAGCTCAAATATTTCAAATTAATCAAGTTTTATTTAAAAGTTTTGAAGAAAAATCAGCAAAAAAAAAACAACAAAAAAGTTTATCATAAAAGTGCAAAAAAATTTAAATATTCTCAATATTTAAATTTTTTTGCATCCACGGTCATCCATAAAAAAAAATAAAAGTAATATGAATAAGCTTTTTTTTTAAAAAAAAAAAGATACCTTGGTTTTCTTTTTTTGAAGTAAAGAAAAAGAAACTTTTTTTGTGTCTTCATTATACCCCATTTTCGCATTTTCAAATATCTGTTCAATATCATCAAGCTCTTTAGACACAATTCTATAAAAAAAATATAATGTGCATTAAATTAATTGATTCTATAATAAAAATGTTTATTATGTGCGTTAAACTAATTCTACAATAAAAATAATTATTACGCGCATTAAAAACCAGCAAAAATGTTACTATATACATTATAAACCTAAAATAAAAATGAAATATTTATTAACATTAAAAAAGAAAAAGGAAAACAATTAAAATACAATTAAACAATACCATAAATGGTAACATTAAAGTAGGATAGTTTTAAAGTAAAAACTTAAATCTAGATTATTTTCCAGACAAAAAAACAAATTAATTTTAGATGTTTAATATTTTTCTATATTCAACTTGTTTAAATTTTTATATAAATTAAACTTCTATAAAATCATTTATTAAACATTAGAAAATTTTCAATCTAAAAACATTTTTTGTAATTTAATACCCCCTAATGCTTTACAACACTCGAAGACAGTTTTAGGAAATGTTGGTATATTCAAGTGAAGCATACATGGCCATCAAGGGAGCCATGGCCTGCCCACTTTTTTTTTGCGTGGACCTTTTGTTTTAGAAATATAGGCAATTATTTTAAAAATTATGGATTTTATTTTAGAAATTGAGGGGTTGACCCCCTCCACTTTGAAGGTGGTGTCGATACTATTAGCATAAGACTATTTAAATCACGCTTTAAGTAGAAAATCACTATTTTGATCTATAAAATGAAAACTGTACATGTACCGATAAAATAATTATAACAAAAATTGTTAGTATTACATGGTAGAACACTCATGTAACCGTTATTTTAAAAATAGTGACAGAATTTTAAAGTAATCAGTAAAGCTTTGAGGTATAAGTAGCAAAAAACTGACAAAACTTCAACTAAAACTGCAATAAATCCTACACCAATCATCCAATCAGGCTGAAATTTTGTCCAGAGTTTGGTGTGACTATTGGCTACATTTGCACCAATTTTTATCAAATTATATTGAATGGTTCAAATTCTACAAGTATTTTTATTGGCGCACTATAAAGTCAAAATTTGACTTAATTTGAACATTCAAATTAAATTATTTTCAGCTGACAAAATTAAATGATTTCAAAATTTGCATCACAGGGTACCTTGATGTGTACGCTAACTTTCCGTATAAGTGGCATTCTTGGGACAGCTAGGTAGGCATTATAAGGATCCATGCTAAGCGTGGATATTGATAAAATTATTATAGTAGATGGTACTATAATAGTTAGATGGAGCATTATTTTAATAGATGGTATGGGTTATATATTTTAATTAAATAATAATAATAACCCTGTCTAGCTTATACTACTATTTTATACACCAAGCAGAACAGTTTAGTTTGCCTGTTGGTCCAACCTTTTTGTTATAACAAATAGGTTAAACCAAAAAAGTGTTTTAGTTGGCTGTATGATGGTGTCATGTTGGCATATGATCAGTTGCCCAGCATTCTTGCATTGGCATCATTTTATCATTATAAAATATTTATAAATTATCCTTTATCTATTATATATTATTGCCAAACTTAATAGTAGTGTGCTTTTGAGCCTGTTTGACACAGTACCGTTGGCAGTCGTTGCAACGAAGGTATATGTATTCAATAATGTTTGTAGACATATAAACTAGCTTATTTTGTAAAAAAGTCAAAAATGATATTTTTAACCTTAAGGCATTTTGAAAAACGGTTGCAGTATGGATGATACAACGAATATGTTAAAATGAGATAATTTGACGCAAAATTTAAAAGCTCTTAACAAAAGCCACTAAACCAAAAAAATTAAAAATAATTGCTTAAATATTTTATTATAGTGAAAATTTTTACTTTAGTGAATATAGTAATTGTAGTTCAAAATTTTATTATAGCACTTAAAAATTTTATTTTAGTGCGTTGGTTTTTGCAAAGAAACTCTATATAAAATAATTTTTAATTTAAAATAAACTAATTATTTTTAAACTTTGTTGCGCTTAACCATATCTATATAAACAATGTATACATAAACATATATGCTATATGTTTATATATAATGTTTATAAAATGTAAAAAATTCACTTATATAATGTTTTATTCAGGATTGTATGTAATATAAGTAAACTTTTCTAATAATTACAAGTCTTTTTTGCTCAAGCTGTTTTGTTTTGGTTTTTTGTAGTTATGTTATTATATTTAAAAAAATTTACAAGATTAAAAAAACACAAAACATATTGTCACTTCCAAGTGGAAAATTTGAAACTTCAACTTTTGATTTGCTCCTCTCTCTATAATTTCTGATTTCTAAAGTTCGAAGACAGTTTTAGGAAATGTTGAATGTTAAATGTCATCTGCATCTTAGACCTTTAAAAATGATAGTCATAGAAATAAGATTTTATTTCAATTTTTTATAAAAACTCTATCTATTAAAGATATATGGAATAAATTTTATGGGATATATTCTAATAAAGGTAAAAGGGGCCATCCATAAAGAACATTATCCAAATAGGGAGGGGGAGAGGTTTGAGATAAAAAGGAAAAAAAAGAACAAGGGGAGGGGGAGTTTGTCAGAAAAAGACGTCACTTTATAGATTTTTTATTTTAGTTTAATTAATATGAAAAACTATGTAAATGTGTGTTTTTAAGAAGATTATGTATAAGAATATTTTTAATTTTATTTTTCAAAGGTGTAGCAGCAGATTCAAACATCATTGCGAGATGGTTTAACTATTTGGGGGTTTTAAATTGGGGGGGGGGCATGATTTTATGATGTTGTTTTCAAGGGGTATAGGGAAAAAGAACAACTAGTGACAAAGCGAAGGGGGGGGGGGGGGGTAGGGGTAAGGAGGGGGGTCAAAAATTGGCTAAAAAATGTTGACGTTTTTTATGGATGGCCCCAAAACTATTTATTTATTACTATTGTAATAAATAAAATCTTTTATCTGTGAAAATGATATATCTGCACCAGTTTTATATATTATAATTCATTTGTATGCAACAATAAAAATTAATAAAAAAATGTAAGATAAATGCAAAAAGAAACTTAATTTGGCACAAACTGACGTCTTCTTAATTTCATTTGTATAGCATTATGTACAAATTTATGTAACTTACATAAATTTGTATTACACTTACAGTAAGTGTAAATGTCTTAATGTTGAGTTTGCAGGCATTTTATGGAATAATTGCATATATATCTATATATCTATAAAATGAGAAAACTTGAAAATTTTATTTTAAATTTTAGAAATCTTTTTTTCTATATATATATATTTTTTTTTGCTATGAATTTATAAGCAAGATTTAAAAAATTTCAAAATTTATTATGCTAAGAGGAGGTTTTAAATTCTCCAAAACAACACTGATGACAGCGCATTTAACCACTGCGCTATCAATCAAATGCATTTAGCAGAAAAAGAAACCTAATTATAAGCCTCTTATAACCTCTACGTATTCGGAAAAGGTGCACATGTTAGGTTTTTTTCAGAATAAATTATTTTACTAAAAAATATTGAAATAAATAAGGAATAGGTATAGAAATTTTTGGCTACAAATAGATATGTAAATTGGTAAAGACCTGTATTTTATGGATCCAGAAAGCTAGAATATATAAGAAAAATATAGAAAAGTTTGGTTTGGAACAGATATACAAAGACCCATATTTTTGCGGGGCCGATCTAAGCTAGTATCTTATATTATCTTAAATATCAATAAAATAAATTGGTTAAAAAAAAAAATCTCCTTATTTTTTAAAATTTATACTTATTTAAACTATTTGTTTCTCAAAACATTCATAACACATAATATTATTATCTTATGTTTGCTTCCTCAAAACTTAGCTGTTTTTTTTTTAAAGTGGAGGCAATTGTTTATGGGTTAATTTTAACATTGATAACTAATCAACATTGATTCTATGATTAATCTAAAAAATTAATTATAATGAAAAAACTTTTGTTAAAAAGCAATTTCAAAACTACCTTTTCATAAATTTGTTAAATAAAATTTACAAAAAAAATTCTCTAAAATAATTTCAATAAAGAAAAAAATTCCTTTTGTGTTGATGTAGATTTTATTATTGAGAGTGCATCCCTAAGTTCTAATTTTTTTATTCTATAACCAGTTGTTTAAAAGATATTGCATTCTTTTCTTATTGTTTTAATTTGAACGTTTGATAATGCCATTCACATTCATCCAGTATTAATATCATTAAAGTGTCCTTAATTAAGAAAATTAATTGTTCTTGGAGAGATTTTTGTTTTTGTTATTATATTCAAATTCAGCTTTAGCATTAGAAAATCATGATTGCTCTCATCAATGTCTGTCATCATTACTCTCATCGCTGTCCATTTTCAAGCAATTTAGGATTGCTTTCTCAGTTTTATAAATTTCATCCTCTGGTGCAGACTTAAAAAAAGAAGAAGCAAGACCATCTTTGTCATCAGATCTTGGACTTTGGAAAAATTGAAAATACAATATTATTATCTCTTCTGATATTAATTACTTCCTTTATTTTCTGCAGAAATTCTTGACTTATTTTAGAATTAACTTCCTGTAAATTCCCAAAAAAATCCCTTCCACAGTTGATAGTGTGGAATCTTCTCAGCTTAAATTCTCAACGGTTAATAAAACCAGCTCGAAAACAATTAATGTTTCTCTGTTATATATGTTTTTCTTCATCATAACTGTAGGAGATTTTTTAAACTTTTTTACAATGATCTTTTTTTAATTTTATTTTTAATTTAAGCATTCAATTACAGCTCTTCCTGTTCCTGTACTTTAATTTAAGTATTCATATTCTTTAACAACTTTATATACTGCAACATCAGCATCATCTTCTGCATCATCAGTATCATCTACTGCATCATCAGTATCATTATCCCTTTTAACATTACATTTCTTTCTTTCAGTATAAAATATTTTTATAACTGCTAGATGCAAAGCATGGTTGTAACATTATGACGTATAAGCAGCAGACAAACTCCTGAATTTTTGCATAACAGACAAGTGATAAAAGCTATATCTTTGTTTAAGCAGAGATTA